GGTAACGCTCCGGTGGGAAGGTAAACGGCGTTTCCGTGCACTGCTCTGGTTCGCTAGAAGCAGCTTAGTCCTGCTGGCCACATGACCCGGAAGCTGTACACCGGCTCCCTCGGCCAATAAAGCGAGATGAGCACCACAACCCCAGAGTTGGCCACGACTGGTCAGGGGTCCCTTTACCTTTAGCTTATACTTTGCCTGGTTTTAGCGAACAGAGCACTTGTTGTAACACAGGCTGGGTCCGAGTCCCTGTTCTTGCTTTCATCCATTACACGAATAAGCAGATAATTATAAAATTATGCAAGGCTCTCATTTGAACTCGTGTACAACCCATGAGGCTGAAAGTTGGGAGATTCGAGACAGATAAAAGCAAGTTTTGAACTCAGGACGCAAGGGAGAAACGTGCTAAGAGGAAGGCACGCTTGGCAAATCCACACCGGGATCAACTCCCGCCCGGAAACCAATGTCCCCACTGTGGAAGGACGTGTGGATCCAGAATTGGCCTCCACAGTCACTTACGGACTCATTGTTAAGACCGTGTTTATGGAAGACAATCTTACTCGGCTACGAGGGATCGCCAAAGAAGAAGAAAGATCATAGAATTGTAGAGTTGGAAGGGACCCTGAGGGTCATCCAGTCCAACCCCCCTAGCAATGCAGGAATCTCAACTTAGCATCCATGTCAGACGGCCATCTGATCTCTGCTTAGAGACCTCCAAGGTCAAACAGCTCTTACTGTCAGAAAGTTATTTCCTCTTGTTTAGCTGGAGTAATAATAATAATAATAATTTATTTATACCCCGCCCTCCCCAGCCAAGACCAGGCTCAGGGCGGCTAACACCAGATATAAAAACAATTGATTGAAATACAACTTTTAAAAAAAAGAATAAAATACAACATTAAAACATTAAAATGCAGCCTCATTTCAGTGAAAACTCAAATCAAAAACTTTTTTGGGGATGAAAATGTCAGGTTTTCACTAAGGCTAATTATCCAGACTGGATATCCTTTCTCCTTTCTTGCAACTTGAAGCCATGGGTTCGAGTCCTACCCTCCAGAGCAGGAGAAAACAAGCTTGCTCCCCCTTCCATGTGAATATAACATAACAGTGCCCTGAAATACATACCTGGACTTGTTTCGATTAATGTCTGCGGGAGACTTTGTGGATAGAAATATCTTTGTGGATAGAAATATCTTTGTGGATAGAAATATCTTAATAATTATTCATAAAGGAAACAGCTTATAAGAAGTAAAGAAGGACGCCAGATACAGGATAAAGGAAGTCTTTTATTTGGTTGTTTATATTCTTGTATGTTATGCTCACTGTATGTTATGTTCATGTTTAATGAGGGTGGATTTGTGTATTGGGGTGGGGTGGGGGGGTTGTGTTATGTTGTAAATAAAATTCCCAATAAAAAATTATTGAAGAAAAGAAAACCTTAAATTATAAAATTCTGGTTTGGATGCTTGATTTGAAGGTCACGTATGGAAGGGGAATCCTAGCATTGTGGAGCTGGAAGGGGACCCCCAGCGGCCATCTAGTCCAGCCCGCTGCAGTGCAGGAATCACAGGGAGTAAAGTAAGTGAAAGATGGACTGCAGTCAGCATGTAACCATCTCTCTTGAGAATTCTTCCCTGGGCTCTGGAAAGGAGGATTGAGGTTGCATCGTCAGCTCTGAGGACGGGAGAGGGTGGGGTGCGTCTGACTATGACTCCTTGCTTCCAAGAAAAAGACCTTTTAATTGTTTCCTGCAAAGAACAATCCTTTATTGTTGCAGGAGTGCTGTTGAGAGATTTCCACAGGATTGGGGAAAGAGGCACCGCGATGGAGGGAGGGGCCACCTTTTCCTGGAGGAAAGCGGGGAGCGCACCTCCCATTCATAAGAGCCTGGCCTCTGGGTCAGGCCACCGGCTCATCTCCATCTTGGAGGAAGGATGGCAGCTAACAGATTGAGATTGAATCCTGACAAGACAGAAGTAGTTTTTGGGGAACAGGAGGCGGGCGGGTGTGGGGACTCCCTGGTCCTGAATGGGTAACTGTGCCCCTGAAGGACCAGGTGCGCAGCCTGGGAGTCATTCTGGGCTCTCCATGGAGGTGCAGGCCCAGTCTGTGTCCAGGGCAGCTGTATATCAGCTCCATCTGGTACGCAGGCTGAGACCCTACCTGCCCGCAGACTGTCTCACCACAGTGGTGTATGCTCTAGTTATCTCTCGCTTTGACTACTGCAATGCACATTACGTGGGGCTACCTTTGAAGGTGACCCAGAAACTGCAATTAATGACTGGGGACTGGGAGCGGCCGCCGAGACCACATAACACCGGTCCTGAGAGATCTGTATTGGCTCCCAGTACATTTCTGAGCACAATTCAAAGTGTTGGTGCTGACCTTGAAAGCCCTAAACGGCCTCAAAGGCCCAAGATACCTGAAGGAGCGTCTCCACCCCCATCGTTCTGCCCGGACACTGAGGTCCAGCGCCAAGGGCCTTCTGACGGTTCCCTCGCTGCGAGAAGCCAAGTTACAAGGAACCAGGCAGAGGGCCTTCTCAGTAGTGGCGCCCGCCCTGTGGAACGCCCTCCCACCAGATGTCAAAGAGAACAACAACTACCAGACTTTTAGAAGACATCTGAAGGCAGCCCTCTTTAGGGAAGCTTTTAATGTTTAACAGACCACTGTATTTTAATACTTTGTTGGAAGCCGCCCAGAGTGGCTGGGGAAGCCCAGCCAGATGGGTGGGGTATAAATATTATTATTATTATTATTATTATTATTATTATTATTATTATCATCTCGTCCAGCTTTCCATTCTCAATGGCGGCCAAATGCCCCTCAGAACCTAGGAATACGGGTAGACTGATTCTGGAACTGGAGGTTCAGCAAGAACACAAGAAAACCTTCCCACACTGGAGGAATGGCAGATGAAACTGATGGACTATATGGAACTGGCGGAAATGACTGGTAGAATCCGTGACCAGGGAGAAGAGTCGGTGGAGGAAGATTGGAAGAAATTCAAAGATTATCTACAGAAACACTGTAAAATTAAAGAATGTTAGAGTGATGTTGGATTGAAAATAAGTGGTTTCCAGCTGTACAGGATTTAAAGTTATAGATAGACTAAGATTAAGGATTAGGATTAAAGAAGTTTAAGGAAATGGAAATTTGGCTTTTAAGAGGCAAATTTTAATGTTATATTATATTAAGATTAAAGATTGGGATTAAAAAAGAGGGAAAGAAATTGCTGGACAAATAATTTGAACTGGAATACAAAAGAGGGAGGTATGAGGAGGTCCAGAAAATAAGTAAATTTAAAGAAGGAAACGAAAAGGTGATATTGTTTTTAATTGTTCTCTTTTTCTTGTATTTTGTTTTTTTTTTGTTCTTTTTTTTCTTTCTTTTTTGGATTATGTATTGTGCATTTTTGAATTGTGTATTTTTCGTTTATGTTTTTCTGTTTAATCTTCTATTGAAACCTTAATAAATATCATTTAAAAAAAAAAGAAAGAAAACCCTGGCTGCTGCGTCAGGCCAAGGGCCTACCTAGTTCAGGATCCTGTCCTCACAGGAGCCACCCAGAGGAAAACTCACAAGCAGGATCCGAGCCCTAGAGCCCTCTCTCCTACTGAGGTTTCCAGGAATACAGAAGTATCGCTGTCTCCCAACTGCAGAGACACCAGCAGCCACTGTTAGGTTTACGCTCCCATGAATTTGTCCAGTCCTCTTTTAAAGCCATCCGAGCTGTTGGGAAATTGATTTAAAATTTACAGATTCTTCTCTGCTGTAAGAAAATTCTATGAAGATGATGTACAGATGGTATATGACACCAGTGCAGTTAGGGGAAATGTACAAAACTAGCTCAAACTTATGTAAGAAAAAGGAGGGGACATTCTGCCACATGTGGTGGGACTGTAATGAAATTAAGAAATTTTGGGAAATGATATACAGTGAATTGAAGAAAATGTTCCATTTTTTTAACATTTGTTAAAAAAAACCTGAAGCATTTCTGCTAGGGATTGTAGGAAAAGACCTGCCAAAGAAGTTGGAAAATATCTTTATGTATGCGACAACGGCGGCGAGAGCCTTAATAGCACAAGGATGGAAGATTGAGGAAACCCCGACTAAAGAACTATGGCAAGAGAAACTGATGGACTATGCAGAACTGGCAAAATCGACACACAAACTAGGGGACAAGGATAACTGTGACTTTAAAAAGGAATGGGAACCTTTTACAAAGTATCTAAAGATGCAACAAAGTGAATTGGGCTCCTTGGCAGGTTTTGAATAAACACTCACAAACTTTCTATTGATAATAACCAGTTAGATAAATTAAGGATTTATACAATTTTGTATAAATCCTTAGCATTTATAGAGATAACAAAGACTGGAACTGAGGGAAGTCGGGGGCGGGGGGGTTGTTTTATGGGAGGGAGAAAAGGGGGGGATTAGGGATGATATGTTTTAAGATAATATGTTTTGTTTAATTTCCTAATAAAAAAATTATTAAAAATAATAATAATAAATAAAGCCATCTGAGCTGTTGGCCATCACTGCCTCCTGTGGCAGGGAGTTCCGCAGTTTAACAATGCATTTGTTTGAATAAGTAGTCCCTTTTCTCCACCCCGAATCTTCCAGAGTTCAGCTTCGTTGGAGAAGGTGCTCATCTGCACCGTTGCGGCTTTGCGTAGTAGGTTAATTATCACCGTGGGTTGGCTGGCAAAGCACGAGCCCGTCGGGTTAATCTCGAACTCGGGGCCGAGGGTCCTGAGCCCAGGTATCCTGTTGCCAAGCTGGTCTTGAGGAAGTGGACCCTGCTCAGGGGCGGGTGGCGATTCATTCGCCCCATGGACTAATTCAGGAGGGGGCAGCCCTGAGAGGCTTCGCCCCGCTCTTAAGGGCTGCCAAGTGGACCCGTGTTCCAGCCAGTCAGGCCTGACCTCCACAGTCCGGGAATCGTAGAATTGGAAGGGACCCTGTGGTCATCTAGCCCAACCCTCTGCAATGCAGGGATCTCCTGCCCAACTGGGGCTCGAACTCACGATCTTGAGATTTAGAGTCTCATGCTCTACAGACTGAGCGGCCGTTTAATTTTTATATGCTGATATTATTATTTTATACTATTCTAATGATTGTTGAATGTTACTTTATTTGATGTAGATTGCTTATTTTAAAGCTGTTTTATTATCATTAGATTGTTATAAGGTGTACATTCTTGGTTTCTTCAGCTTGTAAACCATCTTGAATATTGTAAAAGAGAAAGGCGGTACAGTGGTACCTCGGGTTAAGTACTTAATTCGTTCCGGAGGTCCGTTCTTAACCTGAAACTGTTCTTAACCTGAAGCACCACTTTAGCTAATGGGGCCTCCTGCTGCTGCTGCGCAGCCGGAACACGATTTCTGTTCTCATCCTGAAGCAAAGTTCTTAACCTGAAGCACTATTTCTGGCTTAGTGGAGTGTGTAACCTGAAGCGTATGTAACCCGAGGTACCACTGTATACAAATTAAAAGTGATGATGATGATGATGAACGTCCAGCCCCAGCAATGAGTCTCTTCACTTCAGGCTGATGGCCAGGGCTCTGGCTCTCAAATGGTTAACCCCCCCCCCCAGATAGGGATCCTCCCCACTCTCATCTTTGGGGGTTCAGCTTCAGCAGCTCACCCCCAGACACGTCAACCCAGGGAAACTCTTCAGAGCTCAAAGTACCAAAGCTCACTCATGCGGCTAGTCCGCAACATCTGCTGTCATCGAAGCATGCAGGGGTTTGGGGGGGCACTTCTATTAACCAGGGAAGGTATATAGGAATTGGTTGTGTGGGGGGGGAGACTTCTCAAACCCCCCCAATCCATTTTTTTGCCTTTTCTCAAAAGGGCTGCCTGTGCGTGGGGGAGATCTCTGTCGAGGGGGGTGTCGAGGGATAAGCGGCTCCTTAGACGGCGGTTGGAGCAGCTCGGTCGTTAGAGCCTGAGGCTTTTAATCCCAAAGTCGTGGGTTCGAGTTCTGCTTGGGGCAAAAGATTCGTGCGTCGCAGCCTGGGGTTGGGCTGGATGACCCTTGTGGGTTCCGCCGTTCTTCTAGGGCTCTCCGCGGAGGCTCCGGCGACGAGAGGGTTACGGCTGCTCCCCCCCCACCCCCGGCCCACCCCGTTCCCCGCCCCGGGAGAGAGGGAAGGAGGGCGGGCGGCTGGCTCCGGGGAAAGGAGCCGCCGGGCAGCCGCTGCTCAGTCGCGGCGAGCCGGGCGAGCGCAGCTGAGCCGGCGCGCCCTGCTCGTCTTTGCGCCCCGGAGCCAAGCGCACCTGCCCAGAGGGGGACCCCGATGGGAGCCCGGCACGATGCCCCGACGGCGGCGGCATGAGCAGGCGGAGGCGGCGGCGGACAGAAGCCCCCTTGGGAGCCCCGGAGAGACCACCCGCAACCTCTCCATCGACCGGCCGGGACGGAGGTGAGCAGCAGCGCATCGGGGCGCATTGCGCGTTTGGGAAAGGAGAGCCGTGGAGACGTGGGTGCGGGGACCCCCATTCTCTTGGGCTGGGGCTCCTCTTCCTGCGCCACGGCGCGAGAGAGGTCCCCTGAACACGTGCAGAGTGTTTTCCCTTCTCTTTCTGGGCAGCCGCCGCGGCCCTCGCTTTTGCGCATGGGGATGGTTAAGTTCTCCTCTTAGAAATTGAATTATACGACTGCAATTAATTACACGTTATTAGTCACTTTTTAATAGACGGAAATATCTCAGGGGGTTGGAGCGGGCGACCCTCGGGGTCCCTTGACAATTCCCAGCGGCTTGCAACAGTAATAGACACATACATTAAAATGGGTTAAATTAAATGAACTAAATTTACCGGTTGCTTTTTTTTTTTACAAAAACAACTGAGTGCAGCTTAGGATAAAACGCACATGTACATTAGAGTGGGCTATCCCCACTTATCCTCAGAACAACCCTGCCAGGTAGATGAGGCTGTGGACAGAACCTCAAGCCCCCCCCCCCAATAAACGCCAGTAAGCATCATAGCTGAGTACACATTCGCACTCGGGTCTTTGCCCTCGGGGTAGCAAATAATAATGGGCTCTCATGCCCAAATCTGTCACACCACGCCTGATATTCGGCAGACTCAGGAAAGCAGGCTGGCTTTTAAAAATTCTTTTGCCTTGGCAAACTTTACTCCTTTAGAGTTTGTGCCAGGTTGAGCCAGACAAATGGATAGTCCAGTCCATGGTTAATTTATAAAAGGAAAGGTTCTGGGGTTCTAAGCCCTGCTTAGAAATTAAGCCCTTCGCCCTGGATGATCAACACACTTAACTATTCAATAAATTTTACAAACCGCCTGATAATCAGCAAATCTCTCAGCCGTGTACATAAAACAGTGAAATAACCACGCAGATAGAAATCAGCCGAATTCAAAAACAAGTTAGGCATGACTAAATTACACGTCCGGACAGACTGGCTTGCTGAAATATATATATTTAGCAGGCGTCTAAAAGTATATAAAAGCACCTGACGAATTTTCCTAGCGAAAATGCATCACGTGCAGGGCTGTTTGCTTAGTGAGGAATGTACTCTGCACGTCCCCAGGGGCCTTTGGATTCCCCAGATCTGACTCCTGGGGCTGAAAAAAGATTCTGGAATTAAGGCCAGGGCTCAAATGAAGCCCCATATCGGTCCAACTAGGAAAGTATCACAGAACTGTAGAGTTGTAGAAAGGGACCCTAGGGTCATCTAGTCCAACCCCCTAAAATGCAGGAACCTCAGCCAATCGTAGATACCCAAAAGGAACAGTGGAGTTGCAAACTTTATGTAGGACCAACGGAAGTGGAGATCAAGCTTTCAAACGCCCCAGAACTCCTCTTCAGGTTAGGCGTTAAGAAGAAGGGGCAGACAGGCAAGAGAATTGCAGAGCCCAAAGGGACCCCCAAAGCTCATCTAGCCCAGCCCGCTTCAGTGCGGGAATCGCAGTGGTGATTCTCTTTGCGCCCTGATTAGGGGCCTCAAAGATTGCACTGGGCCTCCCCCCCCCCCCGCATGAATGTCAGCCCCTCTTCTGATCGCTGGTGACCCAGAAGTAATTTTAGGTAAAGGTAAAGGGACCCCTGACCGTTAGGTCCAGTCGTGACCGACTCTGGGGTTGCGGCGCTCATCTCGCTTTATTGGCCGAGAGAGCCAGCGTCCAGCTTCCGAGTCATGTGGCCAGCATGACTAAGCCGCTTCTGGCGAACCAGAGCAGCGCATAGAAATGCCGTTTACCTTCCCGCTGGAGCGGTACCTATTTATCTACTTGCACTTTGACGTGCTTTCGAACTGCTAGGTTGGCAGGAGCAGGGACCGAGCAACTGGAGCTCACCCCGTCGCGGGGATTCGAACCGCCAACCTTCTGATCGGCAAGTCCTAGGCTCTGTGGTTTAACCCACAGCGCCACCCGCAGCCCTTTTAGACATGGCCTAATGTCTCCAGGATGGCAGAGGGAACTGCTGCCTGTCTCTCCCAGTTCCCTGGACCTTTTGCCCCCTTAGCCACTGAGGTCAGTTATGGACCCACAAAAGGAGACTTCTAAAACCTTGAGAGCCACTGGCAGCCTTTACAGTCAAGACTGTGCTATGTTCTGGTTTCGGGGTCTTACGGACTGGCATTTCCCCATGTGGGTGGTATTCTGCAACATCTATAGCTCCATTTCTGCAGCATGGGACTCTGAATCTCAGGGCCCTGGGCGAAATATTCCTCCATTGCAGGGGGCTGGATTAGATGACCCTCGTGCTCCTGGCAGAATTCGAGACCAGGGAGAAGGGTCGATGGAAGAAGACTGGAAAAAATTCAAAATATATCTTCAAAAATACTGCAACATAAAAGAATGTTAGAAAGAGGTTGGAAAAAGAATATTAGGTCGTTCTGGCAGATATGATATAATGGACTAAGTAAAAATGAGGTGTTGAAATAGATGAAATAGAGGAGGTTTAATTACATTATTTTAATTTTAAAATACGTAAATGAAAAGAAGGTTAGAAGGATTTGCTGGAAATACGATCTGAACTAGAATACAAAATTGGGAGGTGAGAGGAGGTCATGGAAATAAGTAAAGGGAAAAAGGCTAAGTAAAGGTTTAATCTGTTTTTTTTTTTATTTTAACTTAATGTATTTTTATATTTTTTGTTAAGTCTTCTTTTATATTCTATTTTATTGTTCTTTTTTATTTGTTCATTCTACGCTTTGTTACGGTTAAAGTTTTCTTTGTATTTTCTATGGTTTTTCTTTTTTTTTTTTGTAACTTTAAATTTGGAATAAATATCATTTTAAAAAAATTTAAAAAAATAGATGACCCTCGTGCTCCTGCCCACGAGGCTATGCCATTGACGTAATAATCGTGTGTCAGGATTTATACGAGACCATCCACACGTCATTCCGTTTTATTAGTTGTTTTGGGACTTTTCCCGTGTGGATCTGGACAGCCAAGCCTCACGACAAACGGTTGAGAAGCAATATGCTAGATTAAATGTAAAGTATTGGTTGTGTTGAGAATGGATTTATGAAAGATTTAGAAAACTTATTGATTAGAATATTTGTGTGAGATTGCATGGGGAAAATACGGAATAACAGATACAATCTTGCTTAAAATGTATATAGGAAGTGCAGTGTAAGCGACGGAAGTCAATCAACGAAATTTTATTATTATTTTCATATTGAGATATTTATAGAATAAATTTGGAAGAAATTCTTCCAACTTTTCTTCTTCTTTTTCTCTTTTGTTTTTTTATCTATGTTTGCTTATCTGAAATATATACGTATGTATTTGCAATATTTTGCTTAGATTTTGTAACAATTGTGTTAAATAAATTAAATAACTAAATAAAGGGGGGGGTGAGAGAGAGAGAAGTAATATGCTAGCCACCTTTAAATCTTTGAAGGGCTGTCCCATGGATGATGGAGCAAGCTTGTTTTTCTGCTGCCCCAGAGGGTGGGACCCACGGATTCAAATTGCAAGAAGGGAGATTCCAGCCAAATACCAGGAATGCTATTCCAACCAAATATTAAGAAGAACTCTCTGAGGGCTAAGAGCTGTTTTAACAGTGGAACAGACAACCTAGGAATGTGGCAGACTCTCCTCGTTGCAGGGTCTTAATTAAGCCTTTGGAGATTCTTTTGCATTGGAGGGGGCTGGACTAGAATATGACCCATCTCTACAATTCTATGATTGCCATCTGGAGAGGAAATCTTGTACTACAGCGCAACAAAAGCAGGACACCCCCCCCCACACACCCCAGGAATAATAAAATCATCATCATCATCACCACCACCACCACCACCATCATCTGTGGCGTCAAAGGAAGTCAGGATTTCCGCTGGAAGTTCTGGAAACAGAGTGGGATGACTGCCCCACAGCTTTTGCAGGCAGAAAAGCTATTGAAAGCAGAATCACGTCTAACCGCCCTGACAGTGTCACGAGTGCAATTCATTGTGAATGCATAATTAAAAAAGAAAAGAAAAAAGGATGTCTGGAGGGGCCCTTAGCAGTGTCCTAACTGGGAAAGATGGAGGTCACAAGGAGAAGGGGACGACAGAGGATGAGATGGTTGGACAGTGTTCTCGAAGCTACCAGCATGAGGGAGGCAGTGGAAGACAGGAGTGCCTGGCGTGCTCTGGTCCATGGGGTCACGAAGCGTCGGACACGACTAAACAACAACTGGATCTGTCCAGGGACGTGGGTGGCGCTGTGGGTTAAACCACAGAGCCTAGGACTTGCTGATCAGAAGGTCGGCGGTTCGAATCCCCACGACGGAGTGAGCTCCCGTTGCTCGGTCCCACCTCCTGCCAACCTAGCAGTTCGAAAGCACGTCAAAGTGCAAGTAGATAAATAGGTATCGCTCTGGCGGGAAGGTAAACGGCGTTTCCGTGCGCTGCTCTGGCTCGCCAGAAGCGGCTTAGTCCTGCTGGCCACATGACCCGGAAGCTGTACGCCGGCTCCCTCGGCCAATAAAGCGAGATGAGCACCACAACCCCAGAGTCGGCCACGACTGGACCTAATGGTCAGGGGTCCCTTTACCTTTACCTGGATCTGGGCAGCCTTTGGGGCTCCTGGACAAGTGTCCCACTGACATCGATACATTTCAGTAGGGATTATGTGGGAGGACTTGGTGGCGGATTGTGCCCCATGTGGGACACTGAGCTGTGGCCCCTTTGACAGAGCTGGTCCCTGATCTGGAGGCTTTCCCCCTCCCTCCCTGAAAACCTCCCCCCCCCCTCTTCGCAAGGAACCCTTAAGGAGCAGGCTGTGGGTGTTTGGGGACAAAGAGTTCAGGCGTATCACAAACGACTTCCCGAGATGATAGCTTTTAACAGTGCCAGCATCTTCTTCAAACACCGTCACACCGCCTCCCCCAGGTTGGTGGAGGTTGTTAAGGGAGGATACAGCAGGCGATGCGGGAAAGACCCATTTCCGTCCGAGTAGGCAAAACTGGGCTGGAAGGATGGACAAATCACTGTGATTTCTGGTGTACGGGCTGCTTCCTTCATTCCTCGGCCAGTGAACACAGAAAGCTTCTTCTGCGTCCAGCCTGCACTGGTTGACAGCAGCATTCTACCTGATAGGAGATGCTCAGTACGTTTGCAGAGCACCAGGTTCATAGGATTGTAGAGTTGGAAGGGACCCCTGGGGTCATCTAGTCCAACCCGCTGCAGTGCAGGGATCTCAGCTAAAGCATCCATGGCAGATGGCCACCCAACCTCTGCTTAAAAACTTCAAATGAAGGAGAATCGACCACTTCCCAAGGGAGATTGTTCCACTATCAAACAGCCCTTGTTGTCAGAAAGCTTTTCCTAATGTTTAGTCTAACTCTGCCCTGAAGTCAATGCAGCCTTGAAAGGGTTAGGGTCTCCTCACAGCAATTTCTCTCTCTTTTTTTAAGGGGTGGTTTAGTATTTCTAGCACACAAAGAATGAAGATTCCTCCTCTCTCCCCAGCCACGCAGGGGCCCTCCCCGGATCCTATTTATGTTTTCATTTTTGCCGCCCGTCGGCACCAGCTAACAAAATTGCGACGATAAAAAACTGAGTTTCAAGTGGTAATTGCATCAGCGCAAATGCAATTTCTGAAGCCTACGGAACACAGGGAGGCGGCAGCCGGGGCATAAATGAGCAACCTGGTTAAAACTGCCTCTCCCCCTTCCCTAAATGCTTCTGCTTGCTTTGGGAAAATGTGGCGCTAGGAGGGTCTTAATCTGCCTGGCTTAATGGCTCTGGGGGAGAGAGAGAGAGGGATGAAGGGAGAACATGACTTAAAAGACAGGCCTGGATAGTTCCTCATGACCAGCCTAACTTCAAAGGGGGATAAAGGAAACAGGTCTCCCCTTAGGGCAGCCTGGCCCGGGGCCTGCACTGTTTATCTGAATCATAGATACCTTATAGTCTTTCCTGTTTTCTGAATGCAGGCAATTCAAAACTAAATCAGAGGAATACCTTCCCCTAATATCATAGAGCCACAAAATTTTAGAGTGGGAAGGGACACCTGAGGGTCATCCAGTCTGACCCCCGGAAATGCAGGAGCCTCAACTGAAGCATCCCTGACCAATGGTCATTCAACCTGTTTAAAAACCTCCAAGGTAGGAGAGCCCACCACCTTCAGAGGGAGTCTGTTCCACTGTCAAACCTCTTCCAGGCAAAAAGATATTCCTAATGTTTCATTGGAATCTCCTTCCTTGCAACGTGAAGCCATGGGTTCGAGCCCTACCCTCCAGAGCAGGAGAAAACAAGCTGGCTCCCTCTTCCATGTGACAGCCCTTGAGATATTTGAAGATGGCTGTCCTGTCAGCTCTCAGTCTTCCCTTCTCCAGGCTACGCATACCCAACTCCTCCAGCCATTCCTCATACGGCTCCTCTGCACACCTTCCAGCTTGTCAGTATCCATCTTAAACTGTGGCACCCAGACAGAGGGACACAGTGCTCCAGGGGTGGCCTGACCAAAGCGGAATGTTGTTATTGTTGTTGTTTAGTCGTTTATTTGTGTCTGACTCTTCGTGACCCCCTGGACCAGAGCACGCCAGGCACTTCTGTCCTCCACTGCCTCCCGCAGTTTGGTCAAACTCATGCTGGTAGCTTTGAGAACACTGTCCCACCATCTCGTCCTCTGTCGTCCCCTTCTTCTTCTGCCCTCAACCTTTCCCAACATCAGGGTCTTTTCCAGGGAGTCTTCTCTTCTCATGAGGGGGCCAAAGTCTTGGAGCCTCAGCTTCAGGATCTGTCCTTCCAGTGAGCACTCAGGGCTGATTTCCTTCAGAATGGAGAGGTTTGATCTTCTTGCCCTCCATGGGACTCTCAAGAGTCTCCTCCAGCACCAGAATTCAAAAGCATCAAGGCGATCAGGGATGATGGAGATTGTACATATTTGATCTCCTGCGTTTGCCCTCTGACAAAGAAATAACCAGTCCATTAATTTTAATGGTAGGTTTATTGTAGCTGTGAGAGACAGAATTACAACAGGAAAACCCCCAGAAACCCAGAAGACAAAAATCAGAGATTGATGTGCATTGTTGTTGTTTGTTGTTTAGTTGTTTAGTCGTGTCCGACTCTTTGTGACCCCCCTGGACCAGAACACGCCAGGCAATCCCTAAGAATGGATCAGTTGGATCTTCTGGCAGTCCATGGGACTCTCAAGAGTCTCCTCCAGCACCAGAATTCAAAAGCATAAAGAAGGTCAGCCTTCTTTATGGTCCAGCTTTCACTTCCATACATCACTACTGATGTAGAATAGAGTGGGACTATTACTGGACAGGTGGGGCTCATCCACCTGGAAAGGATGCCCATCCAGGAGAAGGAAAACTCTCGAACATAAAGCTTTTTTAGGAGAAGAAAAGACCTGGGAGCAAAGCCTCTAAGGCGGTTGGATGGCGCCTTGTACGCCTCCATCCAGCAACTCCTGCAGCCAAGCCGGTGCCAAATGTCTTCCTCTGCTTTCCGTTGGACCACATCCGTGAGGGGGTCTTGTCAACTTGGCAGCCCAGGACCTCCAGACACACTCGCTGCGGAGGTCACTTCGGTGATGCTAACACAGCAAAAACAATGCAGTTATGAGTTACCGGTCTCTGTAGCTACAGCAAGCGCTGTGATTCTGGAGCAGTTTGATTTGGCCCGCCAAAGCACACTCCATTGTCTCTGGAGAATGACGGATGCCCGCAAAATTACCAATCCTCCATTCATTCATTTACTGTGTTTCGCACTGCATTCCTGCCAGTGCATTTAAAAGATATTTATGCTGGTGACCATCGCTGCCTCTCCTGGGAGCAAATCCCAGAGCTTCAGCTGTACTGGATAAGGCCCCCCACTGGGTTCTAGTATTATGGGAGGGAGGAAAGTTCTCTATCCACTTTCTCTACAACATGCATAATTTAGCACACCTCTGTGAGGTCTCTCTCTCTGCCCCCCCATCTACCGCATTTTTCGCACCATAAGACGCACCTGACCATAAGACGCACCTAGTTTTTAGAGAAGGAAAACAAGAAAACAAATATTCTGAACGAAACAGTGGATGTATGATTTTTGTGGTTCATGCTGTGGCCACAGACATGTGATTTGACGGTGAGTTTGGGGTAGCCCAGTGCAAAAATCCTGAGGATCCATGTGGATCCGTGCTTTGTAACCATGTTTTTGCGCCATTGCGGCCCCACGCAACAGTGGGTGCGTGGTTTTTTTTGATACAGGCTGTAGCCATGGACATGCTATGTGATCTGGTGGTGAATTTGGGGTGACCCAATGCAAAAAGTCTGAGGATCCATGGGCTTTTACCTCCCCTCTCCCAGGCAGCCTCCTTTATCGCTAACATCCCTTATCTCCCTCCCGATCGCTTGCCGATCAGCTGTTTCCTTTCAGCACTCCCTTCCCTCTTGTTTGCCATAATGTCTTTTCCTTAGCTGGAGCAGTTTTTTGCTCCTCCTTTTCTTCTAATTTCTCTTCTCATTGCTTTAGTCTCTCTGTCTCCTCTCCTTGCAAGTTTGCTCTTTACCTCCCCACTCCCTGGCAGCCTCCTTTATCGCATCCCTTATCTCCCTCCCGATTGCTTGCCCATCAGCGGCTTTGTTTCAACACCCCCTTCCCTCTTTCAAAAAAGAAAGAAAGAAAAAAAAAAGAAAGAGCACAATCTGCTTTTTGCCCCGGGCAATTCGGCTCCAGGGACCACGCATTCGCTCCATAAGGCGCACAGACATTTCCCCTTACTTTTTAGGAAGAAAAAAGTGCATCTTATGGAGCGAAAAATACGGTATCTAGCCTTTTCGCTAGATAAAAAATAAAAAAGCAACCCCAAATGTTGTAACCTTTCCTCTTAAAATAATTGCTCCACCCGCTTGATCATTCCGATTGTGTTTCTTCTGCAAACAAGCAGAGATGCCTGCAACTGATAAAATGCACTTTTGATCAAAGTCACGCACTGGATCCTTCAAGGAAGGGGTGACCCTCCCCAGAATGAATTGCCTGCCCCGCTGTTAACACCTCCATCCTGTCTGGGTTGGACTTCCTGGGTGCCTCCACCGGTGCTTTGGGCATCTGAGCAGGGGTCCCTTCATGCCTTAACCTCTCAGGGGCTCCAGGGCTGATGCCTCTGCCAGGCCACGTAGTTGAGGATTCCCAGCGGTGACTCAACTTCTCGGAAATATCAAGTTTCTAGGCCTTATGATCAGAGGTCGGTTTCTAGAAAGGGACATGCCATGATACCCCTCCAGGCACCAGCAACTGAAGGAGGACACTCACAAACATGAAAAAAGGGCAACACCGTTTAGTTGCGATCCCTGCATTGCAGGGGGTTGGAATGGATGACCCTCAGGGGTCCCTTCAAAAATCTGTAGTTCTATGATCATAGACAGTGAGCGGCCAGGAGAGACCCAAGTCCTGGGAGGGGGAAACAGCCAGACATGATGGATCCCTGTTTTGCCAGCTGGAGAAGCGGAGACAGATAGGAGAGGCAGTATGGCAGCCAAGTCCTTCTTCATGCCATGCTCAGTTGACCTATGGAACTCCCTTCCACTGGAGGCAGTGATGGCCACTAACGTGGATGGTTTTAAAAGAGGATTAGACAGATTCATGGAGGAAGAGATCTGATCTTCCAGTATCCAAAGGGCTGCCACATACAAGTGATAGAGAAGATTTGGAGCCAATTGATCCATATTACAAAAAAAGGGGGCGATTTAGACTAAAGACTGGGATGAACTTCCTGGCAGTACGGGCTGTTCCACAGTGGCAGAGGCCAGAAGGCTTTTCAGCCCACAGCCCACTGTGATAAGAATGTTAAGGTCTTAGATATATATTAAATGTTCATAAATATACCAACCAAGCACATACATAGATCAGCACAGGAAGACCAACCTGAAACCATTTTTTTGGCTCCCAAACTGACCAAATGTTTTCTCTGCAAGGTCAAAGGAAAATGGAAAAGCCTCCCCATTGTCTTTTCCTTCACAAATCCTGTCTTAAGGATATGTCTGTGTATGAATAGGGTGAGCCTGTGACCTGGCTCAGGAACTTAAGTATTTATCATTACAAAAGACTGGCCAGGCTCCCTAGGGTATCCAATCAAGTGAGCATTAACAGGTAACCTGTCAAACAAGATAAACAACGCACTCAGATTTCTGCTGTAGACCGCCTTTTCTGTGATGTAGGTATGATGTTTCTGGGGAGTGGTCTTAGGTTACACCCCTTCTGTGATGTATATATGATGTATAGGGGTAGCGGTCTTGAGCTCCAGGGCAGGGAATTTAAAATGTCTATACAAGGGCAGGCACACCTTTGTTCTGGGTCCTCCTCCTTTCCTGTGTGTGAGGGAAGCACCCTGTTGCAACAGATCAATAAAGATAAGGCTTAGGAGCTGCTTTGCTTCCCAATATTCTCTGGTTGGCCTCTGTTATTTTTTCCTACCAACAGGGAACCTACGTAAGGACTCTGTATGGGCTCTTGGATACCCCATAAGGGGAAAAGGGCAGATTTTGTTTACAACACCACCTGCCAGGGATGCTGGAGCAGGGGGTTGGACTGGAGGACCTTTGGGGGTCCCCCCTCCAACTCTGATGATTCTATAAGCCTAGCTGGAAAGACACCGTCTCTTACTTGGGACCCCGGCACGAAAGATGATTCAGGTCTTTCTCTCTCTCGTTATTTCACATGGTTCGAGTCTGACTCCTGGTACTCCATGAAGACCAGCAAATCCCAAAATTATAATTACTTATTAAAACGTATTCTGCTGCTCAGATTAAGGCAAGGCATGAGTTGCATGCAGGCTTTGGCATTTGGGGACGGGAGGCAAGGATTGTGGCACACATTTCCAGCACGAGACCTTGGAAGGAGCAAGTACAAGTAACTTGTGGCCACTGAGCAGCGGCAACCAGAATCCCAATAATATTAATAATAATAATATAATATTATTTATACCCCACCCATCTGGCTGGGTCTCTCCAGCCACTCTGGGTGGCTTCCAACAAAATATTAAAATACAGTGGTCTGTTAAACATTAAAAGCTTCCCTCAACAGGGCTGCCTTCAGATGTCTTCTAAAAATCTGGTAGTTGTTTTTCTCTTTGACATCTGATGGGAGGGTGTTCCACAGGGCTGGCGCCACCACCGAGAAGGCCCTCTGCCTGGTTCCCTGTAACCTCACTTCTCCTAGGGAGGGAACAGCCAGAAGGCCCTTGGAGCTGGACCTCAGCATCCAGGCAGAACGATGGGAGTGGAGACGCTCCTTCAGGTCTACTGGCCTTTGAGACCGTTTAGGGCTTTAAAGGTCACCACCAACATTTTGAATTGTGCTCGGAAAAGTAATCCCAAACAGTGGCTGGCCTTGGGTGGAGGTGTGGTTGGGCCAGGCATAGGAATATGCCTCCCCACCCCGGTTAAAGGGATCTCAGAAAGCTGGTGGTGAAGTTTTCTTTGTCCCTGGAGAATTTGCTGCCAGTCAGAGCGGCACAGAGTCCCAGGAGAGAGAGGCAAACCTTCTGATCTGACACAAGTCAGCTTTTGTATTTCTCCCGAGCGAAAGGATGGCTGAGATGGCGTCTCCATCTGTTGAGGCTGAAATATCAGCACGAATCGGCAGCTGTTGCAGTAGCAGGAGATGAGGACAAGCGCTGCCGGTTGATTTGAATCTCTTTGGGTTTGTGGTCTAGAGAAGGGAACCAGGTTTGAGATTGTGACGCTGGTGGGGGCTTAGCAGAGAAGGAAGTGAATAGGCCTGCCAGACTTTGCCAACGTGGGGCCCAAAACAACTGCAGGTTGGCGGAGGATGCAGACCTGGGCAGCGCCTCTGAGCTTGTTAAGAGTGCAGGGCTTCGTACGAGCTCCCGAATGAGGTGGTGCGGCCACCAAAAAGGGCTGGTACAATTCCAGACTGCACCAACGAAGGTCTAACATCCAGGTCAAAGGAAATAATAGCCCTACTCTATTCTGCCTGGGTCAGTATCCTCCTGGAATCCTGTGTCCAGTTCTGGCCATGCCAGTTTAAGAAGGAGATTGAAAAACTGGAAGGAAGGTGTGCAGAGAAGGGCAACCAAGGTAATAATAATTCATTATTTATACCCCGCCCATCTGGCTGAGTTTCCCCAGCCACTCTGGGCGGCTCCCAATCGAGTGTTAAAAACAATACAGCATTAAATATTAAAAACTTCCCTAAACTGGGCTGCCTTCAGATGTCTTTTAAAGATGAGATAGCTGCTTATTTCCTTCACATCTGGTGTTCCACAGGGCGGGTGCCACTACCGAGAAGGCCCTCTGCCTGGTTCCCTGTAACTTGGCTTCTCGCAGGGAGGAAACCGCCAGAAGGCCCTTGGAGCTGGACCTCAGTGTCCGGGCAGAACGATGGGGGTGGAGACACTCCTTTAAATATACTGGGCCGAGGCCGTTTAGGGCTTTCGAGGTCAGCACCAACCCTTTGAATTGTGCTCGGAAATGTACTGGGAGCCAATGTAGGCCTTTCAAGACTGGTGTTATGTGGTCCTGGCGGCCGCTCCCAGTCACCAATCTAGCTGCCGCATTCTGAATTAATTGCAGTTTCCGGGTCACCTTCAAAGGTAGCCCCACGTAGAGCGCATTGCAGTAGTCCAAGCGGGAGATAACTAGATGATCGAGAGTTGAGAGACCAAGCCTTGTGAGGAACGGTCGAAGGAGCTGGGGACATTTAGCCTGGAGAGCAGAAGACTAAGAGGAGACATGATAGCCATCTTCAAATATCTGAAAGGCTGTCACGGAAGATGGAGCAAGCTTGTTTTCTGCTGCTCCAGAGTGCAAGAGACCAAACCAATAGCTTCAAGTTACAAGAAAGAAGATTCTAACTAAATATCAGGAATAACTTTCTGTGGGTAAGAAGAAGAAGAAGAAGAAGAGTTTGGATTTGATATCCCGCCTTTCACTCCCTTTAAGGAGTCTCAAAGCGGCTCACATTCTCCTTTCCCTTCCTCCCCACAACAAACACTCTGTGAGGTGAGTGGGGCTGAGAGACTTCAAAGAAGTATGACTGGCCCAAGGTCACCCAGCAGCTGCATGTGGAGGAGCGGAGACGCGAACCCGGTTCCCCAGATTACGAGACTACCGCTCTTAACCACTACACCACACTGGCTCTCGAGCTGTTGGAGGTTGTGGACTCTCCTTGCTTGGAGGTTTCTAAGCAGAGGTTTGATGGCCATCTGTCATGGATAATTTAGCTGAGATTCCTGCATTGCAGCGGGTTGGACTGGATGACCCCCAGGGTCTCAAACTGACAATTACCGTATTTTTCACTCTATAAGACGCACCAGACCACAAGACGCACCTAGTTTTTGGAGGAGGAAAACAAGAAAAAACATATTCTGAATCTCAGAAGCCAGAACAGCAAGAGGGATCGCTGCGCAGTGAAAGTAGCAATCCCTCTTGCTGTTCTGGCTTCTGGGATAGCTGCGCAGCCTGAATTCGCTCCATTAAGACGCACACACATTTTCCCTTACTTTTTAGGAGGGAAAAGTGAGTCTTATAGAGCAAAAAATACGGTGTGTTTATACTGCCATAAAATTTAGGGAACAAGCTGTACTACCAAAATGATTAAGGTTTTAAATGATAATTTTAGGTTATATTTTAGTGATCAAGATTTAATATATATATATTTTTAACTGCTGCTATATCTGAATCGTCTCTGTTGTACCCAACTGCAATTCAATTATGATTTTCCTGATATTGTAAGTTACCCGGAACTGGTCTGTGACCGTAATAATAAAATTCATTCATTCACACACCACCCAGAATAACACAGAGTTAACCATGATATTCTTGTAAAGAAGCTGGTAAAATGCGGTCTTGACTATGCTACCACTCAGTGGATTTGTAACTGGCTGACTGACCGAACCCAAAGGGTGCTCATCAATGGTTCCTCTTCATCCTGGAGAAGAGTGACTAGTGGGGTGCCACAGGGTTCTGTCTTGGGCCCGGTCTTATTCAACATCTTTATCAACGACTTGGATGATGGTCTCAAGGGCATCCTGATCAAATTTGCAGATGACACCAAACTGGGAGGGTGGCTAACACCCCAGAGGACAGGATCACACTTCAAAACGACCTTGACAGATTAGAGAACTGGGCCAAAACAAACAAGATGAATTTTAACAGGGAGAAATGTAAAGTATTGCACTTGGGCAAAAAAATGAGAGGCACAAATACAAGATGGGGACACCTGGCTTGAGAGCAGTACATGTGAAAAGGATCTAGGAGTCTTGGTTGACCACAAACTTGACATGAGCCAACAGTGTGACGCGGCAGCTAAAAAGCCAATGCAATTCTGGGCTGCATCAATAGGAGTATAGCATCTAGATCAAGGGAAGTAATAGTGCCACTGTATTCTGCTCTGGTCAGACCTCACCTGGAGTACTGTGTCCAGTTCTGGGCACCACAGTTCAAGAAGGACATTGACAAACTGGAACGTGTCCAGAGGAGGGCAACCAAAATGGTCAAAGGCCTGGAAACGATGCCTTATGAGGAACGGCTAAGAGAGCTGGGCATGTTTAGCCTGGAGAAGAGGAGGTTAAGGGGTGATATGATAGCCATGTTCAAATATATAAAAGGATGTCACATAGAGGAGGGAGAAAGGTTGTTTTCTGCTGCTCCAGAGAAGCGGACACGGAGCAATGGATCCAAACTACAAGAAAGAAGATTCCACCTCAACATTAGGAAGAACTTCCTGACAGTAAGAGCTGTTTGACAGTGGAATTTGCTGCCAAGGAGTGTGGTGGAGTCTCCTTCTTGGGAGGTCTTTAAGCAGAGGCTTGACAACCATATGTCAGGAGTGCTCTGATGGTGTTTCCTGCTTGGCAGGGGGTTGGACTCGATGGCCCTTGTGGTCTCTTCCAACTCTAGGATTCTATGAACCAGGGCTAAAGAACCCCTGACCGATGGCCAGGGAAAAAGTGAGTCTTATAGAGCAAAAAATACGGTATATGATTCTTTGACTTGCTGCAACAGACTAGCACGGCTGCTGCTCTTGAACTTTTCTTCTTGTCTCCTCTTGTCCCGCAAATCCCAGCTGGGTTTGCTTTTTGTCCCAGTTCGGCGTTTTGGTGCTCTGCACATGCTCAGCAGCACTCTGCCCTTTGCATTTCCTTGAGGCAGGCAGGCACCGAGAAACAGCCCGGCCGTGCCAGATTCCTGCTTGCTCTCCGTGGGAGAAAAGGAGGCCCCGGCAACCTGGACACTCCTCAAGCCCAGGCTTGCGCCAAACCCTAGACGTGGTTATTTACTCAGACCTCGAGATTAGCTGGGCAGGCGCTTGGCAGACGTGCCCAAACCAAACATGCCCAGGTGATGAAAATCCCTGACTTAGGGGCTGGGAGAGAGGCTGGGGAGTGTGGCTTGGAGCAAGCACTCTGCCTGCCTGGGGAAGGCGGCCAGGGTTAATCAATACCACTTAAACCCATTTGCCTATTTCCAAAACCTGGCTGCCTCTTCCCTTTTGAGGCACGGGAAGAAAGTGTGTGTCAGTCAAAGGACTGCTGTCTACTGTCACAAGCCTGCCTTTGTCTGCCCGTCAAAGGTTTGTCCTCACTAACTCAAAACTTCCTGGTTCCTAACTGGTTGTTGCAAGGCTGATTTAAGAGAAGTCATGTCCTTCCGATTGCTGCACCTCGTTTTGAAAGTGAGCCGGGGGGGGGTCTTTTAAGAGTCGTTTGCTAGGCAGAAACCCAACAGAGCCCAGTTCATTCTGTACCTTTTGAACTTCTGTCTGTTGAGCAGCTTCTATAGGAACAGGAACAGGAATAGGAATAGGAATTTATTATTTGTACCCCGCCCATCTGGCTGGGTTTCCCCAGCCACTCTGGGCGGCTTCCATAGAAACCAAAAATACACTAAAATATCACACATTAAAAACTTCCCTGAACAGGGCTGCCTTCAGATATCTTCTAAATGTCAGGTAGTTGTTTATCTCTTTGACATCTGATGGGAGGGCGTTCCACAGGGGGGGCGGGGCGCCACCACCGAGAAGGCCCTCTGCCTGGTTTCCTGTACCTTTGCTTCTCACAGCAAGGGAACCACCAGAAGGCCCTCGGCACTGGACCTCAGCGTCCGGGCAGAACGATGGGGGTGGAGACGCTCCTATAGGAACAGGGACCCTGCAAGGATTTCAAAAACGTGTCTGCATTTAGCGGATGCGTGAATCGTAGGGTTGGAAGGGACCCTGACATCATCTAGATGCTGCAACGAAGGAATATGCAGCTGTCGCAGATTGAACCTGCAACCCTGGCATCACCAGCACCGAGCTCTAACCAACTGAGCTATCCAGCGACGATGGTGCTTCTGTTTTCTGAACAAGCAAGGGCTTCATAGAATCATAGAGTTTTTGAGTTGGAAGGGATCCCCAGGGTCCAACCCTGTAATGTAGGAATCTAAGCTAAATAGCATTTTTTTGGGGGGTGGGATCTTCTAAATTCTGGAGTCCTGACAATGTCAAGTCACTGTGCTACCAGAACAGGGACACTTCCAACTACCTCAGAAGATGGTGGAATCTCCTACCTTGGAGGTTTTTAAACACGAGGTTGGACGGCTATCTGCCAGGGATTACCGTTTTTTTCGCTCCATAAGATGCACTTTTTTCTTCCTAAAAAGAAAGGGGAGATGTCTGTGCGTCTTATGGAGTGAATGTATGGTCCCTGGAGCCGAATTGCCCGGGGCAAAAAGCAGATCATGCTTTTTTTTTTTGAAAGAGGTAAGTGGGTGTTGAAACAAAGCCGCTGATCGTTTGCCGGGAGAGAGATAAGGGACGCTAGAGATAAAGGAGGCTGCCTGGGAGGGGGGAGGTAAAGACAGCAAACTTGCAAAGGGGGGAAACAGGAAGACTAAAGCAATAAGGAGAGAAATTAGAAGAAAAGGAGGAGCAAAAAACTGCCCCAGCTAAGGAAAAGACACTAAGGCAAACAAGAGGGAAGGGAGTGTTGAAAAGAAACAGCTGATCGGTGGGATCAGGAGGGAGATAAGGGACGCTAGCGATAAAGGAGGCTGCCTGGGAGGGGGGAGGTAAAAGCCCATGGATCCTCAGGATTTTTGCATTGGGTCACCCCAAATTCACCATCAGATCACATAGCATATCCATGGCTACAGCCTACACCAAAAAAACCACGCACCCACTGTTTCGTGGGGCCGCAATGGCGCAAAAACATGGTTACAAAGCACGGATGCACATGGATCCTCAGGATTTTTGCATTGGGCTACCCCAAACTCACGTCAAATCACGTCTGTGGCCACAGCATGAACCACAAAAATCATACATTCACTGTTTCATTCAGAATACGTTTTTTCTTGTTTTCCTCCTCTAAAAACTAGGTGCGCCTTATAGTCAGGTGCGTCTTATGGAGTGAAAAAAACCACGGTATTTAGTTTTGATTCCTGGATTGAAGGGGGTTGGAATAGATGGCCTCTGAGGATCCCTTTCAGTTCTAAGATTCTATGACTTCCTTTCGCTTGCCACGGTGGGGAGGGCTAAAGCCGCTTTGGGCAAGAATTCCCACCAACTCCAGAGCCTGGTGGAAAGTTTTGGGTTCCTGTAAACCAAGTGTGCGCACACGACAGCTGGTTTGTGGCCGAGTCAGAGGCAGAGAGTGCGTTTCTGGGATATAAATAGGCCAGTGGCGGGATAATCAAATTGGGGGTCTGAGCACAGGCTGTTACTGGGGGTCATGGGGGGGGGGAGTAGCAGAGCATTGACGGAACGGGGTGAGGGTAAGAGAGAACCCAGGAAGCAGTCAAGCCATCCTTCTTTGTGACACACATGCCATGCAGTCTGTGTGTCACCTCCTGCCTCTCTCAGAGCATGCAATTTCCAGAGGGGTAGCTGTATCCGTCTGTCGAAGCAAAAAACAGCAGAGAGTCTTGGGGCACCTTGAAGACTCACCAGAACATCAGGAGTCCCTCTTTTAAAGCCATCCAAGTTGGGGGCTGTCCCTGCCTCATGTGGGAGGGAGTTCCACAGTTCGTTTAATGAGCTGCGTGAAAGATACCTGCATGGCAGGGGGTTGGACTAGATGACCACTGGGGGTCCTCCTCCAATGACAGTTGGCCATCGGTCAGGGGTTCTTTAGCCCTGGTTAACTCTGTGTTATCCTGGGTGGTGTGTGAATGAATGAATTTTATTATTACGGTCACAGACCAGTTCCGGGTAACTTACAATATCAGGAAAATCATAATTGAATTGCAGTTGGGTACAACAGAGACGATTCAGATATAGCGGCAGTTTAAAAAATATATATATTAAATCTTGATCACTAAAATATAACCTAAAATTATCATTTAAAACCTTAATCATTTTGGTAGTACAGCTTGTTCCCTAAATTTTATGGCAGTATAAACATACCGTATTTTTTGCTCTATAAGACTCACTTTTCCCGCCTAAAAAGTAAGGGGAAATGTGTGTGCGTCTTAATGGAGCGAATGCAGGCTGCGCGGCTATCCCAGAAGCCAGAACAGCAAGAGGGATTGCTGCTTTCGCTGCACAGCGATCCCTCTTGCAGTTCTGGCTTCTGAGATTCAGAATATGTTTTTTCTTGTTTTCCTCCTCCAAAAACTAGGTGCGTCTTGTGGTCTGGTGCGTCTTATAGAGCGAAAAATACGGTAACTGGGTGGTGTGTTCATGGTGGTAACCCTGAACTGTGGTGATCGAAGCTTCCTGTTTTCTGGCGTTTGTTCTATCGCATCTAAACATTTCCCAGATTCTGGAAGTGGGGAGAGAGAACCGATGCCCTGGGGCCATGGATTTAAAAACACTGCCGGGGCACTTTCTGCTTTTCCGCACTGAGATGGTGCAGCGATCTTCTTTTCCGCCATTTAAAGAGCTGGGGTTTTGGGGAGGTGGTCTGGGAGCTGCTTTCAGGTTCCTCCGAGCTTCAGTCCCCAAGTGCAGTGGTTGGGGGAATTCCACTCCTGCTGGTATTGGATCACTGCATTAACATGTAGGGATCAGGCAGAGCAAATCCACATCCACGGTCTTTGAGGGAGGACGGGGTATTTGGGGAGAGGGCGGCACTGTTCTGGCCGCGAACTGAAGCCCTCTCAACGTGCCCATAGTTCGCTTAATGCGCTGCGTGAAACATACTTGCGTTGAAAGGGGGTTGGACTAGATGACCCATGGGGTCCCTTCCAACTCCACGATTCCACAGTTCTAAGAAGGAGATTCTTTTACCGGCCCTGAATCTTCCAACAGTCTATTTCGTTGGGAGTTCTATTTTACAAAAGTCTATCAGAATTCCCTTCACAGTGTTCACTCTGCTTAATCAGGTGTGTGTGGGTGTGTGGGGGTGTGTGTGTGTGTGTGTGTCATATAATTTTAGAATTAGAAGGGACCCCAAGGGGCATCTATATGTCTGTACACAGAACCGCCCCGTTTGTCCCTCCTTTCACACCCACACAGATATAGAGGTGGCAACCAAGGAGAACTTTTCATGCATGCGATGAAAACGATGCCATCTCCTATCATTCATCTGTCTCTAAGGTGCCACAGGTTCTTTGCGGATCATGCCTGGGTGTGGCGGCACAGAGGGCAGGGGGCTGAGCGACCTCCGTTTCTAGCCCTGGAGAGGCAGTTTTTTTAGTCTCTATAACCACCAGGTTAGGACCTGGTTGGGAAGGGGCTGCAAGACCTATTGCATGGGTAGGCAAACTAAGGTTCGGGGGCCGGATGCGGCCCAATCGCCTTCTCAATCCGGCCCGCGGACAGTCCGGGAATCAGCATGTTTTTACATGAGTAGAATGTCCTTTTATTTAAAATGCATCTCTGGGTTATTTGTGGGCACAGGAATTCGTTCATTTCCCCCCCCCAAATCTAGTCTGTCCCCCCCCCCCCAAGATCTGAGGGACAGTGGGCCGACCCCCTGCTGAAAACGTTTGCTGACCCCTGGCCTATCTTTTCAGCCCCATCTCCCCCAATCTGGCACCGTCCAGTTCCCATGAGCCAAGCTACAACTCCTGCAGCCTAGCGGGTGTCAAACGTCTTGCCTTGCCAAGAGGGGGGGGTCTTGTCATCTGGGCAGCCCAGGACCTCCAATCACTCCCCAGGCTTGCGCAACTCAACGGTCTGACTTCACCCCCGGAGGCGCACTCCATTGTCTCTCGAGACAGGCGGATACCAACAGCATCAAAAAATTTCAAGGTGACTACCTTGTTACCAATGACAAACCTAGACAGCATCTTAAAAAGCAGAGACATTACCTTGCCGACAAAGGTCCGTATAGTTCAAGCTGTGGTTTTCCCAGTAGTGATGTATGGAAGTGAGAGCTGGACCATAAAGAAAGCTGATCGCCGAAGAATGGATGCTTTTGAATTCTGGTGCTGGAGGAGACTCTGGAGAGTCCCATGGACTGCAAGAAGACCAAACCTCTCCATTCTGAAGGAAATCAGCCCTGAGTGCTCACTGGAAGGACAGATCCTGAAGCTGAGGCTCCAAGACTTTGGCCACCTCAGGAGAAGAGAAGACTCCCTGGAAAAGACTCTGATGCTGGGAAAGATGGAGGGCACAAGGAGAAGGGGACGACAGAGGACGAGATGGTGGGACAGTGTTCTCGAAGCTACCAGCATGAGTTTGACCAAACTGCGGGAGGCAGTGGAAGACAGGAGTGCCTGGCGTGCTCTGGTCCAGGGGGTCACGAAGAGGCGGACATGACTAAACGACTAAACAACAACACCTTGTTACAGGGGTGAAAATGTATGCAAAGTTCTGAAGTGTCTGGATCTGATTCTATTTTTTTCTTAATTCCTCCCCCCCCCTTTCCTGACAAAGGAGCAGTCTTGTTACACCCCTTCATGGCTATAGTACAGGTTTGGGGTTGTGATTTATTAGCTAGTAGGGGCTGTGTTTCTTGCGGCGTTTTTTTCTTCAAGTGAGCCAAGAGTCACTGAGTGCGGGATCTTTAGGCCAGGGCTGAACATTTTTGTGACCAGGCAGCTAGCAACTTTCTTTCTTTCCTTCCTTCCTTCCAGGGAGGCAGGGAGCATACTGCAGCCGACTCATCAGTCTGGAAGCAGGTGGGCAGCGAGGTCCAGACTGGCTTAATTATATTTGGGCCGGTAATGGGGAGAGAAGCCAATGTCCTTGGGGAGAGGGAGGGGCACAGCTCCCGTTCCCTGGTTTCATGTCCTCCCCCTAGCCCCACAGAGCTTTCTGCAACACCCCCCCAGCCTTCCTCATGTTTCTTCTTCTTCTTCTTCTTCTTCTTCGGGGATCCCTCGTAGCCGAGTATGATTGTCTTCCCTAACATGGTTTTAACAATGAGTCCGTAAGTGACACTGGAGGCCAGTTCTGAATCCACACATCCTTCCACAGTGGGGACATTGGTTTCCAGGCGGGAGTTGATCACGGTGTGGATTTGCCCAGCCTGCCTTCCTCTTAGCATTTTTCTCCCTTGTGTCCTGAGTTCGAGTGTCTTCAAAGCCCAGGACACCTTTGGTAAAGGCTGTTCTCCAACTGGAGCGCTCACAGGCCAATGTTTCCCAGTTGTCAGTGTTTATACAGTGGTACCTCGGGTTACATACACTTCAGGTTACAGACTCCGCTAACCCAGAAACAATACCTTGGGTTAAGAACTTTGCTTCAGAATGAGAACAAGTCCTAGGCTCTGTGGTTTAACCCACAGCGCCACCCGTGTCCCTTTAAAGCCACTTACTATCACAGAAATAAGGAGGGCCCTAAGAATATGCACCTCAGGTGCCAAAAGCCGGAATAAAGAGCGTATCGGGTGGAATCATTACATTATTTTCAAAGCAGCAGCAGTAAGTGGATGATCGTAATTGGGTCTTCATTGCAAAGCACTTTGGGCTCAGATCACCGTGCAGAGGCGGCGGGTAAGTGAACAAAATCAAACCCAGCACGTAACTTGTGAATTCTGGTACAAAACTGAACGCTCTGAGAAACTCAAGAAGAGTTTGTTTAAAAAACAACAAACCAACCCCAAAACCCACCCAGGTTTGTGGCACTCAATTAGGGCTGGGAAGAAGGCAGAACAACAATGGATGTCCCAACTTTTCCCTGGGCATCTTTGGACCACGTTGACTCATCCTGCCCGGTTACTCAGTAATGATGTTCTTCTTCCTTTCACTTGGGCTGCTGCGCATGAGCGCATGGAATGAGCGCATGCCCCTCCTGGCACCACCAGGCCAATTATTAACACCGTCCGCGCACGCCGGCTGGCGTGATATGTGCTCCTTGTTTTCTGCTTCATTTTGCTTTCCTGACTCTCCCACATCGCGGGCATAAGGAGCATTGGTTTGGGGGTTGAGGAGGAGTCAGGCTCACAAGGACCGAGGAGGAGCCCCTGTTCCTGGATCCGTCCGAAGGGGGCTCAGCGAGTCCAGTGTCCTGCTCTCACAGCGGCCTCAGGCAGGACCTCTCACCCCTCCTGCGGTTTCCAGGGGCTTTGGGAAGGCTGTTAAAGATGCAAAGCGCAAGTTTATAAATCCGGTGGCCATGCAAAGTGCTTGATTTCCATAGATACCGATGCTCCCACAGAGAAGCAGCCCAGACGGCTCCAGGGGCCTATGGAGCCTCACTCTGACTCCTCCCTAAGAAATGCACCTAGTATCTCTCTCTCTCGTACCCTGCTCCTCCGTTCTGGGTTTGCGGAGCCGGGCTGGCTGCCCTCCTAGAGCCCCCTGCACATGCCATTCACCTCATCAGAAATAGGTTATGGAGTCAAGGCCTGCTTTGTACAGACCATGCCTGAACTTTGGTGTCTCCCGAGGGAAGTTTTAGGAAGATAAGGAAGCTGCCTCATGCAGAATCAGGCCATTATTGTTGTTAAAGGTAAAGGGACCCCTGACCATTAGGTCCAGTCGCGGACGACTCTGGGGTTGCGGCGCTCATCTCGCTTTATTGGCCGAGGGAGCCAGCGTACAGCTTCTGGGTCATGTGGCCAGCATGACTAAGCCGCTTCTGGCAAACCAGAGCAGCGCACGGAAACGCCGTTTACCTTCCCGCCGGAGCGGTACCTATTTATCTACTTGCACTTTGACGTGCTTTTGAACTGCTAGGTTGGCAGGAGCTGGGACCGAACAACGGGAGCTCACCCCGTCGTGGGGATTCAAACCTTCTGATCAGCAAGTCCTAGGCTCTGTGGTTTAACCCACAGCACCACCCGCATCCCTGTTGTTGTTGTTGTTGTTACTATTATTTATTGATTTATTGATTTATTTTCTATGCTGCCCTATACCCAAAGGTCTCAGGGCAGTTCACATCAAATATCAAATATATAAAATCAAAAGAAAACCAACAACCCAATTAAAAAACCCCCAAAAGAGCTAGCATTTTTAAAAAGGGTATAGCAGGGGTAGGCACTCTGAGGCCCGTGGACTGGATGCAGCCCAATCGCCTTCTAAATCCGGCCTGTGGACGGTCCGGGAATCAACATGGTTTTACATGAGTAGAATGTGTCCTTTTATTTAAAATGCATCTCTGGGTTATTTGTGAGGCATAGGAATTCGTTTATATATATTTTTCAAAATATAGTCCGGCCCACCACATGGTCTGAGGGTCGGTAGACTGGCCCACGGCTGAAAAAGCTTGCTGACCCCTGGGGTATAGGATGTAGATCAAGACAGACAAAGGCCTGGATTTTGTAGGGCAGGCTCTACCCGGATGAGGCAGCGAAGGCCCCGTGTCTGGTAAGCGAGCTATCAGGAGGAAATGCAAATGCAGACCCCGAAGGTTTCCATGGGGTGTGTGTAGCTGGGAAGGGGAGGGGGTGAAGTTCGAAGGCTGACGCAAGAGCTCAGCCACCATCTCCTTCCTTGAAATGCTCCCCTCTAGTGAGTCAACTGAAAGACCAGTCCATGGCTAGGCAAACTAAGGCCTGGGGGCCGGATCCGGCTCAATCGCCTTCTAAATCTGGCCCACGGACAGTCCAGGAATCAGCATGTTTTTACATGAGTAGAATGTGTCCTTTGATTTCAAATGCATCTCTGGGTTCTTTGTGGGGCATAGGAATTTGTTCTTAGCCAGTAGTGGTTAAGAGCGGTAGACTCGTAATCTGGTGAACCGGGTTCGCTTCCCCGCTCCTCCACATGCAGCTGCTGGGTGACCTTGGGCTAGTCACACTTCTCTGAAGTCTCTCAGCCTCACTCACCTCTCAGAGTGTTTGTTGTGGGGGAGGAAGGGAAAGGAGAATGTTAGCCGCTTTGAGACTGTTGTTGTTTAGTCGTTTAGTCGTGTCCGACTTTTCATGACCCCATGGAGCAGAGCACACCAGGCACTCCTGTCTTCCACTGCCTCCTGCAGTTTGGCCAAAATCATGCTGGTAGCTTCAAGAACACTGTCCCACCATCTCGTCCTCTGTTGTCCCTTTCTCCTTGTGCCCTCCATCTTTCCCAACATCAGGGTCTTTTCCAGGGAGTCTTCTCTGCTCATGAGGTGGCCAAAGTATTGGAGCCTCAGCTTCAGGATCTGTCCTTCCAGTGAGCACTCAGGGCTAATTTCCTTCAGAATGGAGAGGTTTGATCTTCTTGCAGTCCATGGGACTCTCAAGAGTCTCCTCCAGCACCAGAATTCAAAAGCATCCATTCTTCGGCGATCAGCCTTCTTGATGGTCCAGCTCTCACTCCTTAGAGTAGTGATAAAGCGGGATATCAAATCCAAACTCTACTTTTCCTTCTTTATCGTCATCATCTTCTAAATATAGTCCAGCCTCCCACGAGGGACAGTGGACTGGCCCCCTGCTGAAAAAGTTTGCTGACCCCTGGTCCAGTCGTTCTTCCGAGACTTGCTTTTAAGCCCCTGTTACTAAACAAAACTTTTAAATTGGAGAGGTTGTTACATTTATAAAGGCTGTTTTAAGGCTAACAGAGGAGAATAGGACCCCCGTCTCCAGCACCTTCGCATAACAGAAAGTTAAATTTGTCAATGAGAGTTTGCCAGATACGGCTTTGGACGTTGCTTCAAAGCTGGAAGAAAGCTCCAACCCTGGATTTTTAAATATTTTATGCACCACACTTTAAGGAGGATATTGTTGAGCCACCAATAGCCCTGTCCTCCTCTGTGGATTTGCCCAGCCCTCTCTGAAAGCCAAGCAAGTTGGTGGCAGCCGCTTGTGGGAGGGAGTTCCGCAGGTTAACTCTGCACTGTCAAACGCTAAAAAGAGAGGCCTGCTGCCCTTATGCCCTGCTTGTAGTAGGAAAAACCTAAAATAGAACAAAGCCTTAACGGGATGCCGGCTACAAACCTTGTTTCACTGAACTATTCAGTTTCCTCAGAAGGAAATAGAAAAATCATAAACTTTAAATGACCAAAATTCAAACAAGGGTAGAACCCCAAAAATTCTGATGTATTATAATCCTAGCTCAACCTAGGTAAAGCAAAGCGCAGTAATAAAGGATTGAAGACTCAAACGTACAGTTTCTAATACTGAATTTACAAAAAAGGTTTGAAAACCTAAATAGCAAGTTTTAAAGAAAGCCAGACTTGAAGAAGGGAAAGCACAATACTAGGGGGTTGAAGACTCAACTGTGAAAATTCTAGTGCTGCTTTTACAAAAAGGTTTAAAAACCCAAATGGCACAAATTCAAAGAAAGAAATACAAGATAAAGCTGTTTTAGGTTTTTGAACAAACTCAAGAGGAACAGGGCTGAAACTCTCCCGTGGTCTAGATGTTACTGCTGATGTTAAAGACTGATCGGGGCCTGATCCAGCTTGGCTCTTAGGATGTTCTGAAACTCACTGACCTGGATCCTACGCTGCCTCCCCCAAGTCTGGCGAACCGCTTCACCCTGTGTGTTTTACTCCTACATTTATTCTCCTATATTTATTGCAAAATCACGTCTCATTATTCGGAGTTGTGATGCGTGCTCCCCATCTCACACCTCCGCATGTTTCAGAAAAACGAGGGCAACCAGTGCTCCGAACAGCCGCCACCAACCTGAGCCCTCCTCCAGCTGTTTTGGACTACAATTCCCATCAGCCTGACAGCACGGCTGGCCTTAAATAACGGCAGAGCCACAAAAACGGTGTTCTGTCCTCCTGAACTCCTGCCACAGGGCGTGCCAGACTTTAATTTCTGCAAATCTCTTTGCAGGGTCTCAAAGACAGGCTTTGGGGTGCGAGGAAACCAAATCTGCTGTTATTTCTGTGACTGGACAACATTTAGCTTGGCAAGTCTGCGTCTGATGAAGAAGCATATGGACTGCATTCGGGAAACCAAAGAATTTTAATTTTAGCTTCTGAAAAATGCCAGTTATGCTAAATAATGATGATGATGATATAACTGCAGCTGTTTGGCAATCACAACTTACATGCAATTCTACACACATTTTACCTACCAAGCAAAACTAAATTATATCAGTTTAGCCAAAATATATTTTGAATTCCCAAACCACGTTACAACTTTTTACCACCCTTCATTTTGGGAATGTGAAAATTGAACAATTCAACACACCCCATAGGTTCCACTCTTAGGGTGAACTTAGGATGCAGACGTCCGCGTGATCGCCTGCTTTTGTGTTTTTCCAAAGAGGGACGCGGTGGCTGCTTCAATAGCCTTTTGTTGCAACCTGAGATCTATGTTACGCCCAGCACTGTGTGGCCTCATTAAATCTCCGTTCCATCATAAAAAGTGCAGGCCAAAGAGATTTTTTTGCAATGAACATGAGCTACACCTTCTCCTCTCTCCTCTCGCAGTGTTTATTTTTCCTTAACACCCAGCCTGAAGAAGAGTTCTGGTGGGCTGAAGAAAGTTCTCCACCGTGGCCATTTCAGTCGCTCCTGATACTACCCTACTGCCGTAATTCTAGGAATCAAATGTTCACAATCAGTCCCCTACTTTTCCAATAGTTGCCGGTGTGGCCGCGATGCAGCCATAATCTTCTCTTCATCACGTCAACAGGTGGCAGAGAACCGGAGAGAGCCAGCTTGCTGCATCACCTCTTGCCAACCTGATGGGAGTTGTAGTCCGAAACAGCCAGAGGGCGCCCGGTTGCCCTTTGTTGTTGTTTAGTCATTTCATCGTGTCCGCCTCTTCGTGACCCCCTGGACCAGAGCATGCCAGGCCCTCCTGTCTTCCACTGCCTCCTGCAGTTTGGTCAAACTCATGCTAGTAGCTTCGAGAACACTGTCCCACCATCTCGTCCTCTGTCGTCCCCTTCTCCTTGTGCCCTCCATCTTTCCCATCATCAGGGTCTTTTCCAGGGAGTCTTCTCTGCTCCTGAGGTGGCCAAAGTCTTGGAGCCTCAGCTTCAGGATCTGTCCTTCCAGTGAGCACTCAGGGCTGATTTCCTTCAGAATGGAGAGGTTTGATCTTCTTGCAGTCCATGGGCCTCTCAAGAGTCTCCTCCAGCACCAGAATTCAAAAGCATCTATTCTTTGGCGATCAGCCTTCTTTATGGTCCAGCTCTCACTTCCATACATCACGACTGGGAAAACCATAGCTTTTGCTATACGGACCTTTGTCGGCAAGGTGATGTCTCTACTTCTTATGATGTTGTCTAGGTTTGTCATTGCTTTCCTCCCAAGAAGCAGGCGTCTTTTAATTTTGTGACTGCTGTCACCATCTGCAGGGATCATGGAGCCCAAGAATGTAAAATCTCTCACTGCCTCCATTTCTTCCCCTTCTATTTGCCAGGAGGTGATGGGCCCAGTGGCCATGATCTTCATTTTTTTTTTTATGTTGAGCTTCAGACCATAATTTGCACTCTCCTCTTTCACCCTCATTAAAAGGTTCTTTAATTCCTCCTCACTTTCTGCCATCAAGGTTGTGTCAGCTGCATAACTGAGGTTGTTGATATTTCTTCCGGCAATCTTAATTCCGGTTGGTCTAGGCTGGCTTAGAACTTCTCTTCCTTTCTCTCCCCAAGCCAAGAACTTATTTCTCCCATGAATTAATTCTCTCCCGGCAGCCTGTCTTGCAGGGTGCCAAGGGGAAGACCAAGACGAATAAATGAGTTTCAGAACTGTTTATGCTTTCCGTTTAGACACAGCCCATGAATGGTGCTAAAACTCTGGTAAACCGCAGCAAGGAAAGGCACAGCCTCCCCTATCGAGAGCGCCCGAGATTTGCACATTTGCTTCAGTTGTTTTTCTGATACCTTTCCACGTCCCACATTTCTTTTCCGGATTTTCCAGGCCCAATCTTCTGCCACGGTGTCCTCGAAGCAGGTTAGTTAATTGGACCGCGCTGAAGTGAACTGGCATATCTGAGACAGCTGCGGGGGTCTTGCAAGCAGGCTTGGCTGAGAGGGAGGCAGTTTGGAAGGCTAAAGCTGGGGCTAAACCTCCTCATATATTCTGCACTGAACCTGGGTTTTTAATTTGAGGAAGGTGGCATGTGGCCGTATCCTGTTTGGGACTGGAGGGAGCCCTGCTGTTCCAGCACCAGCCTGTGTCTCCTTTGTTCCCTGCCCTTTAGAGCTTGGCAGGAGCGTGCCAGGGAATTGTGTTAGGGAGGAAGGGGGTCTCCATGACCTTCAGCTGCAGGGAGAGGGATTAAGACCTCAGAAAGGTCAGCATTAATTTTTCAGGAGCCCTTCTTATTAATTAATTGGAGAACTAACACTTCTGCAGAGCTAAGCTGGGGATAAATGCCTTGGGGCGGGGGCTACGTCCCAGTCTGTTCCCCCACCCCAGTTTCCCAGAAACCAGTATCCAGCCCTGCAAACGCAGCATCTCGGGTCTTCTGCACTCTGCACGCGTCCCAAGCACTTGCAGGGAAAAGGCAGGGCGAGCCCTTGAAAACAGCCCAGAATTTTACTGAATACATTAAAGAAGTACAGTGGTACCTCAGGTTACATACGCTTCAGGTTACAGACTCCGCTAACCCAGAAATAGTGCTTCAGGTTAAGAACTTTGCTTCAGGATGAGAACAGAAATCGTGCTGCGGCAGCAGCGGGAGGCCCCATTAGCTAAAGTGGTGCTTCAGGTTAAGAACAGTTTCAGGTTAAGAACGGACCTCCAGAACAAATTAAGTACTTAACCCGAGGTACCACTGTACATTTGTCTCTTCCACAAGTTTGGCATAAGTGACATCTAATTGGCTGAATTTTTTTTCTTGACATAATATAGAGGCTTTTATTATGGGTACTCTTTGGGGTCAGGTGCTGTGCCAAACCTCCTGCTCTCTTGCTTTTTACAATGGCTCTCTTTCCACTTTTACCTGCCTGTTATCTCATCGCAAATATCCGGATAACCTGCTTTATCATTTCTTCCGGCGAATGTAACATCCCATGTCAGCCTTTGGCTTGGATCGGTCTAGTTGTTTTATACGTTTGTGTATTTTGTTGCTTAGGTCATAGGGATAAAATTCAACAGAAATACAGTGGTACCTTGGGTTAAGAGTTAATTCGTTCTGGAGGTCCGTACTTAACCTGAAACTGTTCTTAACCTGAAGCACCACTTTAGCTAATGGGGCCTCCCGCTGCTGCCGCAGCACGATTTCTGTTCTCATCCTGAAGCAAAGTTCTTAACCTGAAGCACTATTTCTGGGTTAGCGGAGTCTGTAACCTGAAGCGTATGTAACCTGAAGCGTATGTAACCCGAGGTACCACTGTACTTTCAGAAAAGGGAAAAGGAAACAGCCCAGAAGTTTCCACTGGTTCAGAATATATCTGTGGGGTTTCAGATGACGCACACAAAAATGGTTGCCGTTTCACCAGTTGAGAACCTGGCTGCCCGACTCAATCCCAAACAGCGTTGCTCTTTGAAGACCTAAACCACCTTGCAAGCAGTTCCTTGAGAACTGCCTCCCATGAACCTGCCCAGTTCTGTTTTTGAGGGCCTCCTTGAGGGGGACGTTTTCCAGGTGTGGTGCTTGATGTCGAAAACAGCAGCCCCAAAGTGGAGCATGCCTGGCCTCATGTTTAGACATAAAAAACCGAAAGTAAACAAAGAAGAAGAAAAATGACTTCCATTTCTCCGTCTCTCCACTTCAAAAACTTGTGCAAAATTCTTACTCCATAGTAACAGCCAGCTCTTCTGCTTTGCAACCCTTTCCCCCCCCAGTCTTCAGACCCAGATATCACAAGTTGATTTTCCTTTTTGCACAGAAAGCCCATAAGGGGTTTCCAATCGTTGATAAACGTCAACAGTGATTTTTCTCTAGTTTAGCACATCAGTTGTGCGGTCCTAGCCAAATCCATTCATTTCAATAGCCGTTCTTCCATAATAGGTAATAAGAAGTCCTTCCATCTTTGTGCGTATAACAGTCTCGCTGTTGTGATCATATATTGCAATAATCTTTCATAATCTTTCCCCCCGGACGTCTGGTTGGCAACTGTGAGAACAGAATGCTGGACTAGATTGGAAATATCAGTTTGATCCAGCGGCTTGTCTTATCTTAATAAGGATTTGATTACTCCTACTTAGTCTTTAAGGGACACGGGTGGCGCTGTGGGTTAAACCACAGAGCCTAGGACTTTCCGATCAGAAGGTCGGCGGTTCGAATCCCCGCAACGGGGTGAGCTCCCGTTGCTCGGTCTCTGCTCCTGCCAACCTAGCAGTTCGAAAGCATGTCAAAGTGCAAGTAGATAAATAGGTACCACTCCGGTGGGAAAGTAAACAGTGTTTCCGTGTGCTGCTCTGTTTCGCCAGAAGCGGCTTAGTCATGGTGGCCACATGACCCAGAAGCTGTACGCCGGCTCCCTCAGCCAATAAAGCGAGATGAGCGCCGCAACGCCAGAGTCGGCCACAACTGGACCTAATGGTCAGGGGTCCCTATACCTTTACCTTTACCTTACTTAGTCTTTGCTCTCACATTTTAGATGTCTGTGCATTTTTTTGCAGGAGGCAAAAGATGCGCCCCAGCTGGGTAGCTTCCGACACCCTCACAAACACACCCTAAATGGTGCCTGTGGCCCATCTACAGTGGTGCCTCGCAAGACGAAATTAATCCGTTCCGCGAGTCTCTTCGTCTTGCGGTTTTTTCGTCTTGCGAAGCATGGCTATTAGCGGCTTAGCGGCTATTAACGGCTTAGCGGCTATTAACGGCTTAGCGGCTTTAAGAAAAAGGAAACAAACTCGCAAGAACTCGCAAGACGTTTCGTCTTGCGAAGCAAGCCCATAGGGAAATTCGTCTTGCGTAGCGACTCAAAAAACGGAAAACCCTTTCGTCTAGCGAGTTTTTCGTCTTGCGAGGCATTCGTCTTGCGGTGCACCACTGTACCTTTGTGAAATTGCTGTGACATACTTGGGTTTTAGGAGACGCGGGTGGCGCTGTGGGTAAAACCTCAGTGCCTAGGACTTGCTGATCACATGGTTGGCGGTTCGAATCCCCGCGGCGGGGTGCGCTCCCGTCGTTCGGTCCCAGCGCCTGACAACCTAGCAGTTTGAAAGCATCCCCGGGTGCAAGTAGATAAATAGGTACCGCTTACCAGCAGGAAGGTAATCGGCGTTTCCGTGTGCTGCGCTGGCTCGCCAGATGCAGCTTGTCACGCTGGCCACGTGATCCGGAAGTGTCTGCGGACAGCGCTGGCTCCCGGCCTATAGAGTGAGATGAGCGCACAACCCTAGAGTCTGGCAAAACTGGCCCGTACGGGCAGGGGTACCTTTACCTTTACCTTACTTGGGTTTTGGACACCCCCCTCTGTTTAGAGTCCGAAGTTTTAGGCTGCATCTTTAGGATGTGTTTCCTGCTCTCATCTCTCTGAGTCAGACAGCATGTCTCCCCATCCACTTTTGAGATTTCTATTGACGAGACAGAGGTGTGGTGCTGCAGGCACAGCCTCTCTCTGCAGATGGTCTCTCCTTCCCAGAACCGCTGAGCCAAAGGGGCGAGGTTTGGGGAGGGTTTGGCTGCTTGCCTGGGCGAAACAGTCAAGCGCTGCTTCGATTCCTGGCAGCGGATGAAGCTTTTGGCCACCGATCTGGGTGGGGAAGGCAGATGCGCCCTCAGAAGAGAAGAGAATCACAGACCTGTTGAGTTGGAAGGGAACCCCAAGGGTCATCTAGTCCAACCCCCTGCAACGATGCAGGAATCACAGCTAAAGAGGTGGCCAGCCCAGTTCTGTTGAAAAATCTCTAATAATAATAATAATAATAATAATAATAATAATAATAATAATAATTTATTTTTACCCCATCCTCCCCAGCCAGAGCTGGGCTCAGGGTGGATAACACCAATAAAATCACAGTAAAAACATAATAGGGGGGGACCCAATTTAAAATACAAGTTAAAATACAATTTAAAATGCAGCCTCATTTTAAAAGTAGCTGATAAATCAAGACCATAAGGGGAGGGAAACATAAGGGTCAGACTGAGTCCAAACCAAAGGCCAGGCGGAACAGCTCCGTCTTGCAGGCCCTGCGGGAAGATGTCAAGTCCTGAAGGGCCCTAGTCTCTTGACAGAGCGCTCCACCAAGTAGGGGCCAGTACTGAAAAGGCCCTGGCCCTAGTTGAGACCAATCTAACCACCTTGCGACTTGGGACCTCCAAAATGTTGTCATTTGTGGACCTTAAGCTCCTCCGCAGGGCATACCAGGAGAGGCGGTCCCGTAGGTACGAGGGTCCTAGACCGCATAGGGCCTTAAAGGTCAAAACCAGCACCTTGAACCTGACCCTGTACTCCACCGGGAGCCAGTGCAGCTGGTAAAGCACTGGATGAATGTGATCCCACGGCAAGGACCCCGTAAGGAGTCTCGCCACGGCATTCTGCACCCGCTGGAGTTTCTGGGTCAGCTTCAAGGGCAGCACTGCATAGAGCGAATTACAATAATCAAGGCTGGATGTGATTGTCGTGTGGATCACTGGGGCCAGGGCAGGGTGAGAAATGGAGGAGAGCCCACTGCCTTCCAAGACAGCCCATTCCACAGTCGAGCTGCTCTTAATGTCGGAAAGTACTATCTGTGAGTCAGCTGGTTCCAGCAAAACAAGGAAAAGAGACTTGGGACACCTTAAAAGACTTAGAATCACAGAATCACAGAGTTGGGAAGGACCCCAAGGATTATCTAGTCCAACCCCCTGCAATGCAGGAATATGCAGCTGTCTCATACGGGGATCGAACCTGCAACCTTGGCGTTGTCAGCGCCAGGCTCTAGCCAACGATCCTGAGAGGAGCCTTCTGTGGCTTAGGGAAATTTATGCCATAGCAAACGTGTTATAGCCTCGAAGACGTCACAAAACTCTCACGTGTTCCTGTATTTATTGCACCCTTTTCTCCAGGAAGCTCATGGTTCCCTTCCCACACCGCGCGCTCCTTGTTAAATAACACAACAACCCTGTGAGGTAGGTTTGGCTGAGTGGCAGGAACCCAAGGCCACCACCCAGGGATCTCCATGGCCAAGTGGGGATTCAAAGCCTGGTCCCCAGGTCTTGGCCCGACACTCTAACCACTGCATCACACTGCCTCTGTGTTAATACCGCTGGAGGGAAAACACCACAACAGCCCTGTCAAAGCCCGCCTGCCCGCCAGCCACTAACTAAGGGCCTACCTCTTGACCTCCTGATGATGACTCTGTTCCACTTTTTCTGCCACGTTTCGCTCCATGAATTGTCCCGATAAACCAGACCACGTGCATTTGGTGCTAAAAATACAGAAAAGATGCAAAGTGGTAAACAAAACGCTGCGTTCCCCAAAAACGCTGAGGTCTGCAGCCTGTATAAATCATTCCTGTTTGCCTAGTCTGTTCTGGTTTTGCCCCCTTGCAGTGAGGGAAGGAAGATCAGAAGTTCCCTTTCAGCAGATTAGGCTACTCTAGCCCAGTCTTGTCTCTGGCAAAGCAGGTGTCCCGTCTCTGAGTCCTGATCCATCTCCCCAAGGACCTCCAGAAAGCACAGGAGCCCCGTCCGCTTCCCCAGAGAGACGTCTTAATTTCTGCATTTCTGGGGTCTCACCAGGCAGCACCTCTCTGAACAAATCTTTACAAGCCTGAGGGCTAGAAACTTGCTGCCTTCGTTTATGCATTGCATTTATACCCCAGCTTTTTCCTTCCAAGGAGCTCAAGGTGGGGCCCACAGATCTCCTCCTCCCTGTTTTACCCTCAACAACAACCCTGCGAGGTAGGTCAGGCTGAGAGCGGCAGTGATGAACCCCCCCCCCGAAGCCACCACCCAGTGGAAGTCATGGCCAAGTGGGTATTTGAACCCTGTTCTCTCCCAGGTCCTGGCCCAATACTCTCACCACACTGGCTCTTTGATAAAAGGATGCAGAGATTCTTGGGCGGCTGAATTTCACACCCAGTACCAAATCCCATGCGTTGTTTTTTTTTCTGAGAACAGTTGTTTTACTCCCAAGCTGTCATTCATTTTAAAATGCACCCTTTTAAAATGGGTTGGGGACGGAGGGTTATTGGGTTGTTTTTGTTTTTAATTGTGTATTTTGTGTTACTATAACCTAGCCCCTCTGGGGTTGCGGCGCTCGTCTCGCTTTACTGGCCGAGGGAGCCGGCGTATAGCTTCCGGGTCATGTGGCCAGCATGACTAAGCCGCTTCTGGCGAACCAGAGCAGCGCACGGAAACACCATTTACCTTCCCACCGGAGCAGTACCTATTTATCTACTTGCACCTTGACGTGCTTTCAAACTGCTAGGTTGGCAGGAGCAGGGACCGAGAAACGGGAGCTCACCTCGTCGCGGGGATTCGAACTGCCGACCTTCTGATCGGCAAGTCCTAGGCTCTGTGGTTTAACCCACAGCGCCAACCGGGTCCGAGAGCTTCTCTCCTTGCTGTGCCGCTGTGCCCTGTTAAAATGCAATGTCCTCTGAACCAGATCTTATCGGGGCACAGAAAATTCAGAGAGAGGTTTGCCCCGCTTCCTAAACCGCACTAAATGCGCACCTCAATCCGGATCTTAATATTCATGGACAAACCCAGGTGCGAGAGAGTTGAGCAGAGAAGAAAACCACAGCTTCTCTGTCAACCCGGCATCGTTGTACGACGCCGATCGAACGTGCTCACAGGTCTCCGAGGACACATGGCAGCTTATGGCACGATGCCTTTGCTTGCAAAGCGAAATGATTTAAGCGTCAAATGTAATTAAATAGACATTTGGTGCTTATGGGGAGGGTGGCTGAATATCGATTGCTGCTTCTTGTATAAATTAGTGAAAACAATAAAATGTTTGGATTCCAACCAAACCAGCCGCGCCTGGAATTGCTCCTGCTCTGTCCAACTCCAGCGATTAAGAGGGAGAGAGAGAATTGTTGGGTGCCTGTAAAGGTAAAGGGACCCCTGACCATTAGGTCCAGTTGTGGACGACTCTGGGGTTGCAGCGCTCATCTCGCTTTATTGCCCAAGGAAGCCAACGTACAGCTTCCGGGTCATGTGGCCAGCATGACTAAGCCCCTCTGGCGAACCAGAGCAGCGCACGGAAACACCGTTTACCTCCCTGCCAGAGCGGTACCTATTTATCTACTTGCACTTTGAGGTGCTTTCGAACTGCTAGGTGGGCAGGAGCAGGGACCGAGCAACGGGAGCTCACCCCGTCGCGGGGATTCGAACCGCCGACCTTCTGATCAGCAAGTCCTAGGCTCTGTGGTTCAACCCACAGCGCCACCCGCATCCCTTGGGTGCCTGTAATAAGTACTTATTCTCATGCTGCATAGCAAATCTGTGGAACTCTGTTCCGCAGGATGGGCAGTGATGTCCACCTACCTGGTTGGCTTTAAGAGGACTGGACAAATTGATGGAGGAAGAGGAGACTATTACTGATATGTTATAGATTTGTGGGGGGGTAACCCCAAAACCATAGAAGTTAATAAATGATAGGATTTGGATGATTTGGGATTATTATTATTGCCGTCCTCTTTCGCCAGGTCCACAAGGCCAGGAAGCACCTCTGAGAAGCGTCCCTCGCACCAGCCCAGCTGATTAGGTGCCACCACGGCAGAAGGCAGAACCCAGCTCCATCCCATGGGGGCCTCGCCGCGCACCGATTCCAGGAACCTCCTCGCGATGGCCAGCCCGGCCCTGCGGACGCCCTGCTCCTGGCCCCGCAGAACCCTGTCCTGAGCCGGGGACCCAGCGCCGCCCGGGCTCTCCGCAGCCCGCTTCCTTGAGGATGTGCAACGCGACGCTGGTGAGTTGCCACGTGGACTCCAAGATCGACCACCTCTTCCCTCCGGCGCTGTACATCGCCGTCATCACCGTGGGCCTGCCCACCAACTGCCTGGCCCTGTGGGCCGCCTACCTGCAGGTGCGCCAGAAGAACGAGCTGGGCGTCTACCTGATGAACCTCTCCGTGGCCGACCTGCTCTACATCGCCACGCTGCCGCTGTGGATCGACTACTTCCTGCACCACGACAACTGGATCCACGGGCAGCAGTCCTGCAAGGTCTTCGGCTTCATCTTCTACACCAACATCTACATCAGCATCGCCTTCCTGTGCTGCATCTCGGTCGACCGCTACCTGGCCGTGGCGCACCCTCTGCGCTTCGCTCGCTTCCGCCGGGTCAAGACGGCCGTGGCCGTCAGCGCCACGGTGTGGGCCATCGAGATCGGGGCCAACTCGGCACCACTGTTCCACAACGAGCTCTTCCACGACCGCTACAACCACACCTTCTGCTTCGAGAAGTACCCCATGGAGGAGTGGGTGGCGTGGATGAACCTCTACCGGGTCTTCATCGGGTTCCTCTTCCCGTGGACGCTGATGCTGTTCTCCTACCGGGGGATCCTGCGCGCCGTTCGGGGGAACATCTCCACCGAGAGGCAGGAGAAGGCCAAGATCAAGCGCCTCTCGCTCAGCCTCATCGTCATCCTGCTCTTCTGCTTCGCCCCGTACCACCTCCTCCTCCTCTCGCGCAGCGCCGTGCACCTGAGCAAGCCCTGCGACTGCGGCTTCGAGGAGACGGTCTTCGTGGCCTACCACACGGCGCTGGCTTTCACCAGCCTCAACTGCGTGGCCGACCCCATCCTGTACTGCTTTGCCAACGAAGGGGCCCGGGGCGACGTGGCCAAAGCCCTCTCCACCTTGCTGCGCTTCCTGGCCAGCTCCAAGCCCCGAGAGATGGCCAACGCCTCCCTCACCCTCGACACCCCTCTCTCCTCCAAGAAGAGCAGCTTCTGCCGGCAGCCGCTGGCGCTCCCCATGCCCCACTCGCAGGGGGGGCCCGCGGGGGACGAGGAGCTCCAGATGAAGATACTGACTTTCGAACGCTGAACGCTCGGAGCTGCGTCCGGACGACGCAGAGGCCCTGCTGGCAACTCGCCGGGGCAGGTGGCCGACGGATATACTATCGGACCTAACAATAAAATGATAATATTATTATTATAATAACTTAAAACGTGCCAGCACATTTCTGCCCTAAGTTCCACGCTGCGAGATGCATTGCCTGGGGTTGGCCTAGACCAGGCATCCCCAACCTGTGTAGTGCTTTCCTGGAGAATTCAGAGCACCTCCCTGCTTGGTGGCTCTAGCACAACAACCCTGTAAGAAAAGTGAGCATTGAAGGCGCAGGTGGGTGACGGCGGGTGTGCTGTGGCTGAGAAGCAGCAGCTTGCCTAAGGTAAAATTTGAAAGGAGGTTTTAGGACAGAGGGGAGAGCTCCTCCTGTGTTCAAATCATGCTTGAGCGTTTCCCATTGGGGCATCTCGCTGGCCCCTGTGAGAGCGCATTTCAGCACATTCCTTCCCTATCCCTTTTGGCTCAGCGTTCCATATTATAAGACGGCTTAAGGACCGGAAGACACCCCGGCCGTTCTTTAGAGAGCATGCAAGTATATTTGCAGGGCTTACAAAGGACTCCTAAATGCCCACGGGTATTTTGGGGGCTTGCAAAAAACCTCAAGAGTTCTTGGAACGTGCGTGGAGCCGTAACTGGTTGCTGGGCTGCCTCGATGCCCCTGGAATGGCAGGCTGGAAGCCACCATGAAATCCTGTCCCGTTTGTTCTTTGCAAAGGCACTTTAGTCAGGGGTGGGCAGAGACAAAGATGGAAATGGAGGGGAGTAGTTAAACAAAACAGTAGGAGATACGGCCCACGGGATCCTTTTGCGGCACCAGAGACCCAAGCAAAACACACATGTCACTTCGTTCTTCCCCCTCCCGGTTTCCCATCTCCAAATTACAAGAAGAGGCCAAAGGCCTGGCGTTTACGGAGCTTAATGAGCAGAGGAATCTCCTTGGGGACCATGAGAAATCTGCCATGAAATCAGCCAAAGCCCACCCACTCTGTGTTTCAGCACAAGGATTCAGAAGTGTTCCGGTTAGAACTGGGTGCATCTCAGAGCTAGCTGAGCAATGGCTTGATTCTGAAATAAACGAGAGGGGCTGAGAGGGGCTTGGCTCGACTGCTATGCCCCCTCAGGTGCCTGGGAGCTGGCTGTGGCTCCCACATGGGGAGAAGAGACCCCCAACATGTCCTCAGGCGCTCTTGTTATGCCCCAAAGGGAGGCTGATGGCCGAGATCCAAGGTTGCATGAAAAAGCTGATACTCTATCTGGGTTCCTATAGTACTTTGAAATCAGGCCCTTTTAAGGAAGAGTGAGAACGTGGCCTATTCTCACGGGTGAGGTGCGGCTGTCAAACAACGTCGGAGATTATAAATATGGAATAGGGGGAGAGCAACTTCTCTAGCAACTTCATCCTAGAGAAGAGTGACTAGTGGGGTGCCACAGGGTTCTGTCTTGGGCCCGGTCTTATTCAACATCTTTATCAACGACTTGGATGGTGGACTCAAGGGCATCCTGATCAAATTTGCAGATGACACCAAACTGGAAGGGGTAGCTAACATCCCAGAGGACAGGATCACACTTCAAAACGACCTTGACAGATTAGAGAACTGGGCCAAAACAAACAAGATGAATTTTAACAGGGAGAAATGTAAAGTATTGCACTTGGGCAAAAAAAATGAGAGGAACAAATACAAGATGGGTGACACCTGGCTTGAGAGCAGTACACGTGAAAAGGATCTAGGAGTCTTGGTTGACCACAAACTTGACATGAGCCAACAGTGTGACGCGGCAGCTAAAAAAGCCAATGCAATTCTGGGCTGCATCAATAGGAGTATAGCATCTAGATCAAGGGAAGTAATAGTGCCACTGTATTCTGCTCTGGTCAGACCTCACCTGGAGTACTGTGTCCAGTTCTGGGCACCACAGTTCAAGAAGGACACTGACAAACTGGACCGTGTCCAGAGGAGGGCAACCAAAATGGTCAAAGGCCTGGAAACGATGCCTTATGAGGAACGGCTAAGGGAGCTGGGCATGTTAAGCCTGGAGAAGAGGAGGTTAAGGGGTGATATGATAGCCATGTTCAAATATATAAAAGGATGTCACATAGAGGAGGGAGAAAGGTTGTTTTCTGCTGCTCCAGAGAAGCGGACACGGAGCAATGGATCCAAACTACAAGAAAGAAGATTCCACCTAAACATTAGGAAGAACTTCCTGACAGTAAGAGCTGTTCGACAGTGGAATTTGCTGCCAAGGAGTGTGGTGGAGTCTCCTTCTTTGGAGGTCTTTAAGCAGAGGCTTGACAACCATATGTCAAGAGTGCTCTGATGGTGTTTCCTGCTTGGCAGGGGGTTGGACTCGATGGCCCTTGTGGTCTCTTCCAACTCTATGATTCTATTATTCTATGAACTCCTCTGGGGAGCCACAGTTATGGCATTAAGAAGATTTAATTCTTTTTTGTACTGGTAGCTGCAAGTCTGCTGTTGTTTAGTCGTGTCCGACTCTTCGTGACCCCCTGGACCAGAGCACGCAGTCTGGTCAAACTCATGCTGGTAGCTTCGAGAACACTGTCCCACCATCTCGTCCTCTGTCGCCCCCTTCTCCTTGTGCCCTCCATCTTTCCCAGCATCAGGGTCTTTTCCAGGGAGTCTTCTCTTCTCATGAGGTGGCCAAAGTCTTGGAGCCTCAGCTTCAGGATCTGTCCTTCCAGTGAGCACTCAGGGCTGATTTCCTTCAGAATGGAGAGGTTTGATCTTCTTGCAGTCCATGGGACTCTCAAGAGTCTCCTCCAGCACCAGAATTCAAAAGCATCCATTCTTCGGCAATCAGCCTTCCTTATGGTCCAGCTCTCACTTCCGTACATCACTTCTGGGAAAACCATAGCCGCAAGTCTAGTTATAGCGTATCACTGGAAATCCCAGGCGGAGATACCTCTTGAGATGTGGTTGAATAATATTTGGGATATAGCTGGTTCAGAATGACAAAACCTGGTCTCCCTTCTTTCCGTACATAAAGGAAAAGTAAAGCTCTCCCACTACTCTCACAATCCCCAGGATGCCATAAACTTAATGCTATGTTCTTTTCTCTGTTGAGGCTGTGTTGTAAAGTGGTACCTTGGTTTACAAATTTAATCCGTTCCGGAAGTCCGTTCTTAAACCAAGACGGGCTTTCCCATAGCAGCAGGGGACTCAATTTACAAATGGAACACACTTGAGAGGAAGCGGAACATGTTCTGCTTCCAAGGCAAAGTTCAGAAACCAAAACACCTACTTCCAGGTTTGCAGCATTCTTAAATCCAAGTTGTTCATAAATTAAGCTGTTCTTAAACCAAGGTAAAGGTAAAGGTAAAGGGACTCCTGACTGTTAGGTCCAGTCGCGGATGACTCTGGGGTTGCGGCGCTCATCTTGCTCTATAGGCCGAGGGAGCCGGCGTATAGCTTCCGGGTCATGTGGCCAGCATGACTAAGCCGCTTCTGGCAAACCAGAGCAGCACATGGAAAAGCCGTTTACCTTCCCGCCGGAGCGGTACCTATTTATCTACTTGCACTTTGACGTGCTTTCGAACTGCTAGGTTGGCAGGAGCAGGGACCGGGCAACGGAAGCTCACCCCGTCACGGGGTTTCGAACCGCCGACCTTCTGATCGGCGAGCCCTAGGCTGTGGTTTAGACCACAGCGCCACCCATGTCCCAAAACCAAGGTACCACTGTATAATATTTTAAGTTCTAGAGTTATGGGAGCAGGAGAGAGACTTTTATCTATCCATGCAGCCGTGATTTAATTTTATAAGCTTATGCTCTGTCGCCTCTTCCTTGCCGTTCCTCTAAAGAGTTTCTCCTCAATGAAAAGTTGTGCGTAAGAAGCGCCTTCCCGCACCCCCCTGCCAAGGGAAATTCCCTGCACATAAGAATAATTTTTACTTTGCTCATAGCAGCTCAGGAATCCCTGCCTGCCAGCCAGGCTTAAACCCAGAAGTAGCCGCATTCCCACACAGGGCC